ACTAAACCACAAGGGTTGATGAGACTTCCAAGATAAGTGAAGCGGTCGACACACTCAACTACTTCACTCCCTATCACTAGTTCGGGTGTCGATGTAACCCAATTCTGAAGCAACATTTTGTATTTCGAGGGGGAGAATCGCATCCCGAACATGCTTGCATTGTTGCTTAGAGTGGTCAGAAGACTCTGCATTTTGTGAGCGTCTTCGCCAAATAAAACTATGTCATCAGCATATTCTAAGTCAACAAGTGAACCTCCTGGTAGAAGTTCAACGCCTGTATATTTAGATGAGGAGAGTGTTATCTCTAAAAGTACGTCAACGACAAAGTTGAACAACAAAGTTGAATCAACACTATAACTAGTTACATTTAATAGTTTCAGGATATCGTCATAAAGCATTGTCATAACTTGACAATCACGTAATATGACTGATAAAATTAATGAAACTATTAACGAAATCGGTCAACGAATTGACTTATAATTACCATTAAATGGTGTTGTTTTCTCAGTATCTTCATCCATCACAGATGATTACAGTATGTTTCTCTATCAGTTGCTCATTCAGTAAATACCTCAAAACCGTGTCAGTCTAATTGATGGTTTAGCGACACAATCATGCATGCAAATAATCAGTATAAGCAGTCGAGCAAATCTCCTGCAAACTGAAAACATCAATGTCGAATTTACCCCAACACTGACTAAGGTTCAAGCCATTATCATAGACATGAGTTGGGAGTGTACTCCCCCTGGTTACAACTTATGTTCTCCCTGATAATCACATGAGCATCACTCACTGTTAATCATCTTGTAAAAGTTTATTTAGCCGAATACATCCTGCAGCACCACATCACCTAGTAATATGACACATAGGCCTAACTGATTTCAATAACTTATAACCACTATATCTCAATTAAATCGATAAACTGCGTACTTGCAACTAACTTGTATGCATCATCAGCCGTCAGGTATAAATATGTATAAATAGTCTATGGCAACTCAAAACATTGAGTCTAGAGCATGTCTCTTACGAATACACTCATGTTTAACGATTTGTTCTTAGCTATCTGTCCAAAACTCATATAATTATCACTCATATATTGAAATTTTGTTTTAATATCCATTCATGTGTATTAGTAGTATTAATAAATTCTATCACGGTCAAGTAAAAACGAGGTTGAGAAAATCTCCACGTAACTAAATAAACCGTATCAAACTAACTGGAACACTAGTTGGAATTCTTTTCCATGGTAATACTTTTGTTCTTTCAGTTAGCCTACTAATACAGATGCAATTGGAAATCACATATGGACGGGTTACCGGCATAATTGTTAATTGATTTCATAATTTAAACCAAAACTAATACCAATATTAACATTTCTACAATATTCATTACTTTAATATTTCTAAACACAAAATACTTACTACCTATGCGTCAAGTTATTAACCAACGGCTATTAACACGCATTGTTTTATCATTATTACTGTAATCCCATTTCTTATAGCTCAAATAATCTTTACCCAAATTGTCATTTTAAGCGTGTTAAGCATGAAGGCAGATTTTTTTCAAATTATTACATGTATTTCCCGACCAGATGCTGCCGCCTTTTTTTTGATTTATCTTTCAGCTTATCAATACCCGGAGGATCCTTATTATCCTTGGTAACCTCCGGCGCGCGACGATCCCATCCAATTTGGTATCGAACCAACATCACGTTGATTCTGATGGGAGAGTAGTGTAGTGGCATTGGACAATAGCCACACAATCCACAAAGCTGTGAACACGAGACTACTCAGAAAATAGATATTCAATATTTAACTCGGGGAAATACCTAACAATGGAGAAGGCGCGGAGAATGAATTGAATGGACTAGAGTTGATCGAACGGCATGGCTCGGCCATGCAGGCGTGGTCCCTGCTGAATGTTATCTTATATCTTCTATTCATATTAAATATATTGTTCTTTCTCTAGTCTAACCTTGTTCTACATCACGTATTGGTAATTGATACGATACAGTGAGTTGGCGTAGTCGATGGTGTGACTTCCACGTAAGATCTTATAGATTAGGCAGTTATATCATGACAAATCTAAAAATTTAGGATTAGGTCTACTATTAGAGCAGCGCTAATATCATAGTAGACCATAATTCTACAAGTTCACCCCAACCACAAACAACCTACATTCATCAATAATAGCCCTCCTCATTTTGTGAGCAGCATAATGCGCTACTAGTCTGAATACAAACGAACAGGCATCAACAGTGTATACAGGTAATTCAAACCAACGCACAGTGGCAATAACTACTAGGTCCTAGTGGCTCAACCAGCTACGAAAGCGACTCCGCCAACCTTCTGATAGCAAGTGCCTTCGTACACTTCAACGAACTCATACTAAATTTGTTCGTAACCCAATATGATTTGCACTAAAGAGTGTGAGGGCCGACTCGGTGTGTCGGAAACTGCATCTTATAAACACGGCACTTCTCCTGGCGTGGATATGGTCCGCTCTGCTATACTGAGGTAGGCGGCTTCAACACTGACAACACCGCTTGGTGTAATGTCCTTACATTCGCCAAACCAAGGAACGTCGCCAGAAAAGTAGAGTTTGGTTCACATTATATCTGTAGAATCATGGTCTACTATTATAATAGTACAACCCTAATGATAGATCTAATCCTAAAATTGTAGATTTGTCATGATATAACTGCCTAATTTATAAGATCTTACGTGGAAGTCATATCATCGCCTACACCATCTCATTGCATCGTAACAATCACCAATACATGATGGAGAACAGACTTAGGCTCGAGATAGAACAATACATTTGACATGAATAAAAGACAATAAGATGACATACAACAGGGACGACGCCTGCAAGGCCGAGCTAAACCATCCAATCAATTCGAATTAATTCAATCCATTGATCCCGCCTTTCACCTCGTTGGGCTTTACTCCGCGTTAAATGTTGAACATCTACTTGCCTGCTGGGTCCCAATAAATATAATAAATGATAACTTTGGGATCCTTTTACGGACCAATACTAAACGTATATTTTTATCGTATAATTGTTAAATAAGTAAACTATTCATATTCATATTCCTCTTATTATAAACTTTATTTTGACCTATGAACCATTGTTATGCGTTTTACCGTTCTTGATTTATGCCCTATCTATTAGTCACTGTCTCCCACATTTACAGCCACATTTGGGCAAATTTTGCAAAATGTTATTTTCTATGTTATGCTACGTTGTGATCTGTTCGACTGGTATATAAGCTCAGTATATTTGAAATGTAATGATTCATATTGCAGAGGATGAGATTGGTGTTCTGGACTTAACTGACTGGGCTAGACAGTAAGAGAGATCAATAAGGACTCTAGGCTGCTCGCACGTGTTTTACGAGTCCTTGGTCCGATCGATGATTCACTGCTTCTGATTGGCGGCTTTGGGCTATAACATTTCCCAATTGTCTCGTGTTCAGCTTTGAGGATTGTGTGATTATGGCCCAATGCCACTACATATCAATTTTCAAAAGAGTTCGACACAGCGAACCTTCAAACTACAGGCCGGTAGCATTTCTCTCAATACCCTCAAAATTTATGCAGTCCCTGATGTTCTATGGTCTGTGTGACTACCTGTTGTCCACAAAATTGCTCTCCGACAGCACAGTTTCGGAATAGGTCACACTCGTATGACCAACCTGCTGAGAGAGGTGGACAGGTGAACAACCATCATTAATCGTAAGGTATCAAATCACCTTACATTGATTAGCTCGCTTCAAATCTAAATAATCGATATTTTAGGGTTAGCGTTTACTTCACTTTTTCTAAGACTATGGAATGTCTTGGTTAGTTACGCCAGTACTAGGACCCCTTCTTCTCATCACTTGTATAAATGATCTTCCACAGCAGGCACCGTCGGATTTATTACATTTTACTTATGGTGTGAAACTCTGGAACTAAGATCACCATCAAGAGAATAAACTGGCACTTCAAGAGAATCTGACTCGACTTCAAAGATGAGCAGATGACAACGGGCTTATCTTCAACACTTCAAAGTGTTACTTGGTCCATCTGATACATGTTGCAGACTACAACTACAACTCGGGCAACTCCCTTCTAGTAGTATCCCAAGTTGGAAATGATGTAGGAGTGTTCGTACCCCACGATCTGAAGTCTCGCTCTGAGACAAAAAATTCCTTCCAAGAAAACCCTACACTGTTAACACTGAAGCGCCAGTTCGACGAAAGAACTTCTCACACAATCCTCAACAATTTTATTCGACCTCACTCAAAGTAGGGACCTATAGGATTTCCTCCACCACTCTAAAAATATAAGGACACACTGGAATGTATCCTACAGCGAGTCACGAAATCAGTTCGGAGACTCGAATTTAGATCTTACGAAGAGCGCCTAAAATCGCTGAACATTTGCCCATCAGAGTACAGGCGTCCTAGAGGTGTCCTAAAGACTTACAACATCCTAAACACTTTCAGGCATCCCCTTGAATACCTACTTGAGCTTAGTCCCAATACAAAACTTAGGAGTAACACCCAGAATCTGGAGACACAACATCTCAGAATGGATTGCAGACCCACTTTCTACTCCTTGAGAGTAGTCGAATGCTGGAATTTGGTGCCTGTTGAGCTAGTCTAAATGACTCCTCATGAGTACTTTAAGAGGAAACTTAACATATACTTAAGAACAATAGACAATGTCTCGCTGTAATCTACAATTTCTTCTTCCTCTTTCTCTTTTATCGTTCAAAATACCTAGGTTCCTACTCAGAGGCATTGGTGATCCACTCCTATCGAATTCGGAAACATGTTAAGCAAAAGAACAATTTGAAACCACTGCTCATGTGAATAAAATAGTGATGCTGATAAAATCTATAATAACTGTTGAAGCTACAGAGGCCGACGCTTATGAGGGAGTACAGTAGTTCCTCATCATCGATTTGTGAGCAGAAAAGGTTCACGTACTTTGTAGTTTGTCAGATTCATTGTACATTCGAAACTATTATGTTAGTTTGATGTGTGCGTTACAGCTCGGGATTTTGACAGAACTTGAGAAGAGCGCAGAAGGGATAGCAAATAATTTAGAATCATTGTTTCGTTCATTAACGTCTACATTAAACCAGGTATTTCGTAATAAATCCCTCCGCATGAGATTGTAAAGTGGATTACTTGTGTTATCGTGATGGGCAGCTGCAAACATGTCTGACCCAATCAACCAACAAAGGGGGAATAAAGGCGAACAAAGGGGAAAATGCGTTGGAAAATAAAGGAGAAACGTGCCAAAATGTCTGATTTTTCTCCTGTCCAGAGGAAATAATGCGGATTTCCCCCCCTTTTTGTCGCTTTGTCTCTCAAATATCGCTGAATTGTCTACTTTTCGCCTAAATATACGCCGAATTGCCTGCTTCTCGCCTAAATACACGCCGAGTTATCTACTTTTGCTAAAACTTTTAAAACGCCATTGGCATAACTCCAAAGGTCTCCTATGTTCGCTTTTATTCCCACAACACACCACACTGAAACTTCAATCCACGGGGAAAATGGTATATGTTTAAATAAATTTATTAAAAAGAAAAAAGCCTGTTATTATACAGCATCATAGCAGAAGCTTGAGCATCAATCGTTATGCGTTTTCTTTGTAATTACCAATCCATTGTTATTTGAAAAGATCTGCAAAAGTAACAGGTGATGTATTTCTCCAAAGCTTGTCTTTATTTCCCCCATTTTTGCTTGGGTAACTGGAGAATTAAGTTACTCTTTTATTTATTTACAATATACTGTAACACTTAACATTATAATGCTAAGTGTTACTCTCTATGTTCTGCAAGCCACTCTTTGAGTGCAAATGTGAATACATTCATTCACCGACAGATATTTATGATTCAGATTACCAATTGACAATATCATGGGCGAACTACATGGAAAACATAGAGTTTCGAGACCTTTAGCCTCATTTCTTATTGTTCCTGGCTCGCTACGTCCCCTCTTGTCTTAGAGTCAATAACTGGGATCTTATTTCCTGCTGATTGTAAACTAGTTCACACAGTTTCGTTAGTACTGTATTTTTAACGTCGCTGCATACTCAGTTATCAGATCAGCAAATTCAAAGTGTTTTTAAATCTCATCTCAAAACTATATAGTATATCATAATTTACCCCGGGAATACTGACTAGTCGGATGTAGATGTCTGACTTTTGTCCAAGTGGGTATTCGGCATCCACCTACATGGGCGGTTCGTCAGGGAAGTATCAAATGCGCCATTTTCATTTGGATAAAATATTTTATTTACTAGTGACATACCGTAAACAAACTTCAGCATCAACGCGATTTTTCACTTTTTTAACATTTAAATATGACTACATTTTAGGTAGAAGTGAATTTTGTACCGGTGATATTATTCAAGAGAACAATGAAGGCTCTACGACCAGGCCAAAAAACGGAACTCCACCTGAACTACAAATCACCATTTCGAGTGTCTTTAGTATTAATAAATCTGGAAAAAATCGTGCAGTTTAATTTCTAGCACAACTTATCTCACATGCTATTTCCAAAATTTGTTTAACGTCTAAATGGGTCATGACTGCACAAAGAGTGCCACAAAATCAAACTTTGAGCTGAAAAGCTAAGTTGTCTGTTATACAGTAGCTCGTTGAGCTTATAAAATATTAGTAAGGTTGGATGTAATTCGTAGTTTCTAAAAATATGACTCATTAACCACGTAAATGCTTCCCATATGCCATAGACATCTTTTCCGAAAGGTCTACTCACACCACTTGACTATTTAAACAGTGATGGGTGAAGGCCATTTCAAACTGATATCCCATTTTACATGATTGTAGTTACTAAATATTATCTTCGTCCAAATGATAAGGACACTACTGTTTTAGTTCTATTTACCTCCTTTTCTTGTAATTCCCTCTCCGTCATTCTTGCTCCTTTCATGTTGAAACCAACATAATGGCGTACTGTTTTCTTTATGTTTTAGATGTCAAGTCTTACCTTGGACTGTACAACTGTATTTTCAGATTCCGTGGATTACGCTTGTGAAACTATTGGTGCATGTATAAAGGTTAGTCTGTTGATAAATGGTGAGTTGATATCGGTGGTTTGAAAATGTACGGCCATTACTAGCCATAATTTCTCAGTGTCTGTACTACCACATTTAAGGTTGGTTTAGGTTTCTATGAATACCCTCACTAAGGGCTCTTTCTTTATATAAAGTCGAAATCTTGAATAACGGTTATCTAGTTGAGTACATTATTTATTTATTTGTACATATATATATATATATATATATATATATATATATATATATATATACGACATTTTTGACATAGCTTCAGCATGAACGTTGACATGCTTCAGTGAATGCTCCGTTTTATCATTTATTGCCTGCTCTCACGTTTAAATAGTGACTCATTCTACTGATCCGACAGAAACCGTTGTATGAAATAAGTATAGTGTGGAATGATCAACATACTCAACCACAGTGGCTTTCCTATCTTTGAAAGTTTACTTGACCAGAAATGGGTCATAATTTTATTTTCACAAGTGTGATTTTAAGGTATCTCACGGTGGACTGGTACATTTCTAAAATTTAATATGAAAACTAACCCTAGTGTATTGCTATGATTAACGCTCTTATAAGTACTGGACAACTTTACGCAATACTCTTAACGATCTTGGTTCAGATTAAAGACCACTAATCACAACTGTAGATGTACAGTAGTTCATGCATTATGGTCCGCTTGTAAACAATAATTTTACTAACAACACCATCTTAATATGAATTTAGCACAAATCCCCAGTGCATTCTAAAGCTATAAGGTTCAACGATGTGGGAAGTTTCAATAGTTTGAGAAAACAGGGATTCCCTTGTCATTATAACAATCAACCAGTTAAAGTAAAGTCTTGTATACTTTGATTAACATAAGATGTATTATTTGTATCTGAAATACTTAACTATTGTTGGAATATTTTCAGAACTTTTATTTCCCCCTTAGTCCACTTATGTTTTGATGGCCAAGTGCGAAGAATTATCCAAATCTATGTCTCAGCTGGAACCGTTAAAAAAAGAAATGTGAGTTCCCTATATCTTTCTTCAGATTGCCTTAAACATGTGTACATATATCACTAATAACTCTTGTCACTCCGATTATTCAGTCATCATTGTATGTTATTTGATATAATGATTTTTTAACTCACCTGTAGTATAAAGAGTGGATATACTATGATGATTCAATCGGGCGAGCCTGGAATACTCTGTTCTTGAATATCCTATGAAAATTATTAAACTGCTAAATTTCGGTGAGCACTTAGCTGTACTGAGTCTCTTCACTAAGTGCCCAAAGTATAGTACAAACCTCACAGAAGCAAAAACCACTTTGAATTTCATTTTTCATTTCACGCTGACCAAACGTTATCCTAAACAGGTTTGCAAATCACTCTAGCGATACAAAGTCGAACCTAATGTCAAGTCACTGAAAAGATATGCTGTGAACAAAATCAAAATACTTCAAGTACATATCACTAAATTAGATTATATGCTATTGACAATGTTCTTAGAAATCTTGAGGATCAAGTTGTGACATATGCTTCAGAAGTACAGCAAACAAGAAGGAACAAAAATTCAATGCTTTCAAAGGATTAGTTTAAAAATCTGCTAATCCAGACACAAGACTTGGTAGCTCCAAGTAAGCTCAAAATAGAAGAATTTAAGATGACATTAATTGACTACTGTAACCAATTTAGAAGCAGCAAACACAACATAAAGAAGACATTGACTAGGAAACCTCGAGAAGCCACCCAGAAAACAGATCGAGTAAAAATTTAATAATAATGAAACTAGATAAAGGATCAGGTGTCGCAATTTTAAACAAGGCTGATTCTATATATAAATTGGTCTTCTGTTTGATGATCAAACTAAATGTCATAGACTAGGATTACGTAAAGGCCTGGCAGAAAAGATGGAACATCAACCAACTTCATCGTTAAAATCTGTAGAACAACAACAATTTATTTCTCATTCTACTTTTGACATGCTTAAATGTTCAGAAGCACGCACTCCACACCTTTTTGACCTATTTACAGTGTAAGAGCAATAAGCTCAATTACGTCTGAATTTATCAAACACACCGTACCACTCAACAGCAAAGTGGCTTGTGAAATTATTAAGACCACTACATCGAAAGTCAGTGAGACGCAATGTAAAAGAAGTATTTGGATTTGGAAATGTAACAACAAATATTAATCTAACGAAAATAGCCACGTCATCTTTGGATATAATGTTTTTATTTATTGGTATTTCACTGACTAAAACTATTGAATATATTTGCAAACAACTTGTAGAGAAGAACGGTGTTACTTATGCTAATAGATGAAGTGAAGAGACTTTTATTGAATTTGATAATGAGCACCCACTTCTTGCACAAAAACAAACGTTATCGACAAATAGATGAAGTAGCAGTGAGATCTCCCCTTGGTCCCATTTTCACCAATATATTTTTAGCTTAAGTGCAAAACGGCGTATTATGTGATACTCCTAGTAAACCAAAATACCACTGCCTTTATGTAGGTGATGTACCAAACATCTTCATCTACACGGTCAATATACGAGGACTCTAAGAAACATTTGATAATGCACGTCCAACGACTAGTCCCACATGTGCTTTCTTCTCTAAAAGGTAGGATGGTTCGACATAAAGAAATGTATTTAGAAAAAACTTGCACTATGTTCACTTACATAGAATCACATCCATCCAACACAAATTAATCTAATTAAGTGTTCGAGTTACGGAAAAAAGTGCTAAATAGTGTTCGCAGGGGAAAAGGGTGTTGAATAATTCTTATTGGTGAATCTTATCAGGTGATATCGATGACCGTGGTTCTCATTCATTACAAGTTCCTAGTACGAAAATGAATTAAATTGGATTTTTCATCAGACAGCCTTTCTGAATTTTACAAGAGACCTACTAACTTCAAAGCAAATTATTTTCTAATCCAAAAACTTGCCAGTCCAAATATCCTTTGCCGATACTATAACCAAATATGAAATGTTTTGGCAAATATCCTATTTGTGTAATATGTTATTTTGTCTTTCTCTCCTTATCTTAGAGAAGGTTTGAAACGAACTCTAAGTAAATTTGAGGAGGCATTAAGTACACCATTGAAGTAGTTAAACAGTGAAACTTATCCTAGGAGATACTTTTCCATCTTTGTTTTGTAAAATTGTGGAACATCATTATTTCTTCATGTACATAACGTGTATAGCACCTCGCTTTATTAATACATTCCTACTTACCGCAGTTATTTTGTTTGAATAATATGTATTTGTTGTTATTACTATGTTTTTGATTATTAAATATTGTTATTTTTAACCCCAGTCTAATTAAAGTCACCATACTTGACTTAAAAAACTGGCAAAAACGATCAAAAAACTAGTTCTTGTATTGGGAATTAAAGTTTCTGTTGAATGCTTGGTGAATAGCGTAACGTGATATGAAACTTGTTTCACTATGAGTTGCTTTAAAGATGTTGAAACACAATGATGCTTGTAGTAATATAGTGAACGAGAATGCAAGCGAGGACAACCAAATATGTTTGAATACAAAATTACAGAACGTCTTAGTAAAATCTGAGAACCATACGGCGAATGCTTCATCTAGAAAATGTTGATCAATTGCCTCGGATTTGACTGACCCTTCGTTTCGAAACCAAGCACTCTCTGTTCTCGTTCTTTTCTTTTCGATCTTAGCCTTCTGCCGCCAGGCATTTCACTTTGAACTGATGACTTAGACTACTTATGTCTGTCGACATCAGTACCACACACCACAGACTGAATTCGAGTGACAATTAGGTATTCAAATAATTCCAATCGGCTAATCAATTTTGTTGGTCAGCGTAGTTGAGTCTAGGCGACTCACACCAGTAAATTCTCCCACTTCGTAATTGTCACACTACGAAAAGAAGATAATTAGTCTATTGTATTGTAAGTGTTTCTCCATTAGTTTGACTAAGTCACTCAAAGTACATTTTAAACCGTTGTCCAACCAATTCAGTGTTCAAAAGAGAGTCGTCAGATAGAAATACAACACTGCCACATGAAGCTACCTACTTGAGATGCGCTTTGTAAACACGCTACTTAACAATTTTGGAATGGCCTAAGTAAATTACTACAAAACTCATAAAATCGTGGTCGACTTTCAGGAATGACATTTCTGATGACTGGTTTACGTTAGTCTGAGAAGCTAAAAATCAAGGACTGCTATTAGCTACCTCAGAACCACTCAGCAGTCCGTACACATAACCCTGATAGCAATAAACTCAAAACCCTCAGGTTATGCATCCAACTTGTTACTTTCAAACGAACGTGTTAAAAAGTCTATTCAAACACGTCATCACAATCTGCTTGAATGGTACTTGAATTTGTCGTTAAGTGAAACTACATCTGTTTGCTTCTAGAGATCACTAAAATGAATCAAAACACTTGACTAACACGAGTTGGCTTTTATTAGTCATCGCGACGATGTTGCATTTGCAATGAGCACTACTTCAGAGAAGATAGAGTTTGTTCCACTCCAGATACTTCTGCGAATTCGCAATAGTACTGTTGATGAAAAACCAAAACAGGTGTAAAGCAAATCAAAGTACCGAAATCGGCGATATTAAAATGGCTATTGACTAATCTCTTCGTTGTGTTCTCCAACGGTGTATGTAATGAATTCAAAAAAGGATTGGTCTTATGTGTAGCATATTCACATGTGTGTCAACAGTTACTGAATGTGATCATATTTCTTTTGTTAGTTGTTGACCTAAGGTGATCGGTCATTGTTGATATAATCGACGAGAAAAACGCGATTCAGGACTTCACTCAATCGTTCTTACAAGGAATCCAAGAACGACTAGAGATTACTGGTGCTACTTTCGTATTTGTATGTAGTCAGTAGAGAGACACTGACAAGTAATTATTTTTTACCCAGATTCCCTCTTTCTATGTTTATTTATCGGTAAGCTAAAAGTGCTTGTTTGTTGTCGAATGGAGTTAACTGTTGACATTTGATCAGCATGAAGATGGTTTTCACCACGAGTTGATACCTGTTGGGGAATTGCCAAGAGCCAAAAACACTGTCTAATCGTTTCACCTTAATTAGGCGTTTTGGGACTAACATGGAATCCAATCCAAGACAATAAGTTCTTGAACCAAGTACCTGATCGAACAACAAACACACACTGATTAGTGAACAACATCAAGATGGATCAAAATAGTTGAGAGTGACAATTGTCTCATGGAATTCAATCTGTGACTAGTCAGTATTATATTAAATGTGAGATCTGAAAATCTCTTATTTGACTCAGTATTACCTGATGGGTGGGCATCGCTTGGTTGTCACAAGCTCAGATGTAATATCTAGTTGATTCTTCTTAATTTTTCTGTATCTTCCAACTGATGTCAGTCTGTAACAAAAACCACCTCAAATATTCGTTTACGTTTCTAGATCACTACAACTAAAAAGTTAGTCTTTGCATGACAGTCAGCCAGTTTATTCATATATCTGCCTATAAATTGACGTGATAGATGTGCATAAATCGAGTTTCTCTATTGGTCAATAAAGCAGCTCTTTTGAAATAGAATTTGTAATTTCAGCTAAAGATGAGCATCGATGAAGAACTTTCAACACAAACAACTCGGTTATTCAGTATCATCTACACATCAAACTGATTATTTCAAGTATAAACTTCATACTACTTACTATATATTTAGCTTGACAAGGACAATAAGCTATCAATGCACTTTGTCGTTGAATTTCAATGACTTTGAGAAACAATTTTTTATTATTAATAAAATGCAGAAAAAATTCCATCGGTAGACGTCTTTCAACAGGTACATGTAATAACCAATTTTTCAAAATCCTTTTTAATTCTTTTACTTTTTTCTCTTCTGTATAATGGATTTTTGCATCACGTAATAAGTCATTCATATAAGTACCACAGAAACCAACAGTGTATGGTTTGTCTTTGCAAAATTTATGTGTTTTACCTCGACAAACATCTGGGCAATTTAAATGTGGATCAATCTCACGAATGCATAAACCCAATCTACAGAGAATAAGGAACAAATCAATTAGTAACATAATAAAGCTTTTTAGTGGTTTAGTGAGGAACGGATAGTTTTGAGGAGGAGGAGAAGAAGACGAAATCTCTTCTCAAAGATGAATAAATATATGAAAAGAGAATTATTGGTTATACTGGCTCAATATCATTATGTTGTTTTATAGACGTTGAAACTGTCGATTTGATTTCGTGCGAAGATATTTACCCACTGTACTGACTAACATCAAACAGCATGGAATATTGTGATAATTTGAAGTATTCGAATTATAATACAAACTAGGAATCCCAGAAATAACGCAATTCAACCAAAATGTATTAGATAAGCACGAAAGAACGTCTTATGCATGGAATTCGAAACGAATCACTAGTTCATACAAACGCCACATTCATCATAGCTTAAATGAGAATCAAAATTTCTGCAGTCGATTTTGTCTCTTCTTCTTAACTTCAACGTGTGTCTGTCTGACTGTATTGGATGTAGACTCTGTATGATCTAGAATGTACTAATTAGTATTAGAATGAACAACTAAAGTCAGTTGTGTACTAAAATCACTGATATCTAGAATTTGAACCGTAGGTTTTTCAACACCCCCACGATATAACATTGGATCCTCATATCCACAAACGCTAAATGATCTGGCCTAATTTAAAACATATTTCTCGCATTGGTTAGAGAATTCATTTGAAGTGTCCTCATGATAAGGATAAACAACAGTTGATATAAAATCATCCGAATCGAAATCGATCTCATGTGAGACTTGTGCTTCGCATTGAACAAGTTCCCCACAAGAAACAATTGCATTATGAGAGCAAATAAAATTTGATATGACATCAGGATCTGATTTCTCTAAAGTATTTTCATCAAATTTATTGGAAAATGTCATTGAAGAATAGTGAATCATTAGAAAAATAAGCATCTATCGGAGTTTCGATCATGATTTGATTCATTCAACATATTTTCCTCAGATTTATAGAGAATTACATCAGAAATATGTGAACCGTTAGGACAAATGATATCTGGTACAATGACATGAGGAATCCGGTAAGAAGGTTATTGACTAGTAGCTTTTGCCTAACAATGATTCTGGACTGCTATATGACCGTATGCTGCTTTTCGAAGTCGTGGATAAAGATAAATGATCATTAGAAACACCCAACTTAATAAGACCAAATTTAGGATTGCTTGCAGCGAAATGAATGTTAGTATTACAGACTGCCGGCATGTGTCAAATCATACTACATTTAAAGCATTTAGGATTACGAAATATACATGGATTACGTGAGTGAAACTTCCCACAGATCAAACATTTACCAAACTTGTGCTCATCTTCGTGACCTGCTTTTCAACTACTCAATGAATTGTTATCTGAATAACCTTGATTGCGCATTAGACGGGGACCACGTAGTAAAGTAATGGGATCCTGATGTCCCGACGAATCATTTTATAAAATTTCCTTCCTTTACGGCATTCGAAACTTGTACACTTTACATGGTCTAGTAGTAGTTGCTTGCGAGTTGCAGAGGGAAACGAAATAAGCTTTTCTGGTAAAGCCAGAGTTTTGATAAGCTGTATGATTTTCTTCCCGATGAATGTAAGGAAGTGAGTCACAATATTAACACTCTCAAGATATCCATTGGTAAAAGCCCAGATTTCAAAACCTTCCATGTAATCCTAAAAATCGGAATGTATGTCTAAACGTTCCATCACAGGCTCCATCGCGACGCCAATGTGATGATTTAAATTATAGTGCAAACTAGGAATCCTAGAAATAACACAATCTAACCAAGAAATATTAGATGAGCACGAACGAACGTATTGTATTTGGAATTCGAAGTCAGGCAGTCATCAAGTACAAAGGAATCATTAGTTCATACAAACACCATGAATAGACATTTAGTTCAGTGTGGTTTTTTATATTATCTAATGAAGTAAATCATCTTGGTAATAAATTATCGATTGGGTTATCGATAACACATTTTAAACTTATATTTAGCTAGTTAATGATTATAAAATTATTTTCTATGATAACGTTGATAATTTTTAACAGACTAAAACCATTGTAACGGTTTCCCTTTACATGTATTTCTCTATATTAATTGTTATATACACGTCATTATATACATCATACTGTAATTCTAGTCCATTATATTTTATTTATCAAGAACCATGGCCTGTATCCTTAGCATGGAAATGTAGTGGTACACCAATGTTAAATGGACAACGCGTTCAGTTCATTGAAGAAGCGACAGAAGTTTATTATGATACATTAATGTCTGGAAGATTTATAGAAGATAGAAATTTAGACGTTATCATACCACCGAATAGCATATTAAAATCAAAAGATTATTTAAATATGCTTGATCTAGTAATACATACATCAGGAAAAAATCTTGGTAATCCAGTTGTAATGCGGATTAATTGTGAATTAATGAATAATTTAAAATGGGTCAAAGAAGTATACAATAGAGCATTATCCAGAAATACAAAGACATTTAGAGCTATACTGGATATTATTTATAGGTAAAAATCAAATTTCAATTGATTTGTTTATTCGTAATGCTTTCAACTGAATCTTCACAACTTTTATCCGGTAGTTAAAATGTTTTACAAAGGTGTAACCAATTAAATCGACCACCAAAAAGGCATCATAGAATAAAAAAAGCAATACAAGTAACGAAGATGATTTTATGTATAAGAAACTGATGACATTGATGTCAGTATACGACAAACATTTTACTAGGATAACGAGTCTCAACTCAGCCGATGAATATAAAGAAACAATATTATAGTAGTAGGGAGAAATAATATAAGTGATTGCTTGCGGTGGTAAATGATTGGGATACTGGTATACTGTCTATATACTTAACGGATTGTCTCATATGGGTGGTGCTGGACTAAACAATGATAATACTCAGTAAGCTAGTTAAATCTGCCAAAAATAACAAGGTTTCCACCAGTATTCATTACTTTCGAAATTGTTAACAGCATAATAGCGGAAGAATACTAAAATAGACGAGGAAAATAAGAAATAAATTGATATGTGACGAGCAAAAACACTGTAGATTGAAGAAAGTGTTGTAGTGGAGATAAAGAGTAAATAGATCAGCAGAGAATGAATTTGAAGTAAATCCAACGTTTCGCCTGGCAATCTGATTCAAATTTTTTCAAGGAAATATAATCAAACATCAAAATTATTTCACAAGTTGAAATCATGAGCCAATTGAAGCTAGACCACCATGGAAAACCTGGAAGCACTGGACGGCCGTTTCGTCCTAGTATGGGACTCCTCAGCAGTGCGCATCCACGACCTCGCCCCCTGCGAGATTCGAACCCAGGACCTACTGGTCTCGCGTGCGATCACTTAACCACTAGACCACTGAGCCGACATCCAACGGTGTTAATGTCTAACTTCAACCAATCCACGAAGTTGCGCCACCGCCGGCTCAGTGGTCTAATGGTTAAGTGCTCGCGCGCGAAGCCAGTAGGTCCTGGGTTCGAATCTCGCAGGGGGCGAGGTCGTGGATGCGCACTGCTGAGGAGTCCCATACTAGGACGAAACGGCCGTCCAGTGCTTCCAGGTTTTCCATGGTGGTCTAGCTTCAATTGGCTCATGATTTCAACTTGTGAAATTTCTAAAAATCTCCACAAAACCCATTCTGATAATCAAAATTATTGTTGGGCCAGATTGCCAGGCGAAACGTTGGATTTACTTCAAATTCATTCAATAAGATCTTACAAATACATTCTTCCTCTTTAATGTTTCACATCGACTCGGTGCCCGAATACTGTGAAACTATTCTGTTAAATTTAGACGAAAGTTCTTATTTATGGATCAGCATATTTTTAATTAAATTTGAGACATTGCACTATTGCCCAGAAACCACGTATTTCGCATTTCTCATGTTAACTAGGAAAAATATACCTTTATATGGGGTAGAATGTATTGATTTCTTGTCAAGAAATATTTCTCCTTATCCGTCATGATTATACTTTATAGTTATTAATGTTTTGGAATGAGTTGATACGTAACTTTGATATTATTATCAAAACATATAACTGGAGCAAATATAAGTGAACATGATTACTGTCAATATGCAAAACTGGGCTATGTACTATTTTCAAAAGGCCTTTATTCAAAAATTTCAATTCGTATTTTTAAAATTCGATTACATTAAACAATGCGATAAATCATTACTTTTGGACTTACTGGGGATTTCATACAACTTCATAATAGTTTTGTAATATATGGTGAATCATACATGGCCTCATTCATCGGAATATATTTATATCAATAAACATTTCTAAAATTCATTTCCTTCGTCAGAACCCGTAGTGGAAATACTAAAAGGACATATTCATATATAATGACTGAATAAAATTGTACTCCGTTCTCTTCTCCATTGTGAAATTACTAAATAGAGTCAAATAAACCGATCAATTAAACAGATGGGTTATTATCATTATCACATAATCGGCAACTTTAAATCTTAAAAAAATTTATAGTTAATAAACGTATTATATAATTAAGATCACGAATAGGCATCGAGTATAAGAATACAAAAAATCACGCTGAACTAAATATCCATTCCATGTTGTTTGATGTTAGTCAGTACAGTGAGTAAATATCTTCGCACGAAATCAAATCGACAGTTTCAACGTCTATGAAACAACATATTAATATTGAGTCAGTATAACCAATAATTCTCTTTTCATATATTTATTCATCTTTGAGAAGAGATTTCGTCTTCTTCTCCTCCTCCTCAAAACTATCCGTTCCTCACTAAACCACTAAAAAGCTTTATTATGTTACTAATTGATTTGTTCCTTCTTCTCTGTAGATTGGGTTTATGCATTCGTGAGATTGATCCACATTTAAATTGCCCAGATGTTTGTCGAGGTAAAACACATAAATTTTGCAAAGACAAACCATACACTGTTGGTTTCTGTGGTACTTATATGAATGACTTATTACGTGATGCAAAAATCCATTATACAGAAGAGAAAAAAGTAAAAGAATTAAAAAGGATTTTGAAAAATTGGTTATTACATGTACCTGTTGAAAGACGTCTACCGATGGAATTTTTTCTGCATTTTATTAATAATAAAAAATTGTTTCTCAAAGTCATTGAAATTCAACGACAAAGTGCATTGATAGCTTATTGTCCTTGTCAAGCTAAATATATAGTAAGTAGTATGAAGTTTATACTTGAAATAATCAGTTTGATGTGTAGATGATACTGAATAACCGAGTTGTTTGTGTTGAAAGTTCTTCATCGATGCTCATCTTTAGCTGAAATTACAAATTCTATTTCAAAAGAGCTGCTTTATTGACCAATAGAGAAACTCGATTTATGCACATCTATCACGTCAATTTATAGGCAGATATATGAATAAACTGGCTGACTGTCATGCAAAGACTAACTTTTTAGTTGTAGTGATCTAGAAACGTAAACGAATATTTGAGGTGGTTTTTGTTACAGACTGACATCAGTTGGAAGATACAGAAAAATTAAGAAGAATCAACTAGATATTACATCTGAGCTTGTGACAACCAAGCGATGCCCACCCATCAGGTAATACTGAGTCAAATAAGAGATTTTCAGATCTCACATTTAATATAATACTGACTAGTCACAGATTGAATTCCATGAGACAATTGTCACTCTCAACTATTTTGATCCATCTTGATGTTGTTCACTAATCAGTGTGTGTTTGTTGTTCGATCAGGTACTTGGTTCAAGAACTTATTGTCTTGGATTGGATTCCATGTTAGTCCCAAAACGCCTAATTAAGGTGAAACGATTAGACAGTGTTTTTGGCTCTTGGCAATTCCCCAACAGGTATCAACTCGTGGTGAAAACCATCTTCATGCTGATCAAATGTCAACAGTTAACTCCATTCGACAACAAACAAGCACTTTTAGCTTACCGATAAATAAACATAGAAAGAGGGAATCTGGGTAAAAAATAATTACTTGTCAGTGTCTCTCTACTGACTACATACAAATACGAAAGTAGCACCAGTAATCTCTAGTCGTTCTTGGATTCCTTGTAAGAACGATTGAGTGAAGTCATGAATCGCGTTTTTCTCGTCGATTATATCAACAATGACCAATCACCTTAGGTCAACAACTAACAAAAGAAATATAATCACATTCAGTAAGTATTGTTGACACCTAAACAAGGAGTAATTGTCGCATTTTTACTATAAGACAGACCTCTATTCTTTAGCTCAATCGGTTTGCAGTTGCATATTCGGTGGAAACCACAACACATGTATTCAGCTGTCAAGTTCCACTACTAGTCATAATGAATCAGTACTGAAATATGAAATGACTTGTTATCGAATACTAAATACACCCGCTAGTGTTTTATTCTTCATACACAATGACCGGGTCGAATGGGAACTGAGATAGTACATTTTTACATTTCTTGTTTTCTTAATGAGTTCTCTTTAAATGATCAGGGCAGCAGAATCGCCTATCTTAATACTGGCTATGTTTGATGATTATAATTATTCGAATTTCATGCAATTGGTTCCCTTTATGAATTTAAATAGAGCAAGAACAAACATTGATGCAGAATAGTATGAATTCATATTATTTCGAGGTTTCTCGTCAGCTGCTTACAAACCAAAATTGTGATAGAATTTTTACATGGAGATAGTGTGAAACAATTGACATAAATGAGTGTAAATAACGTGATTACAATAATAAGGGGGGAGTACCTGATTCTTAAAATTTTATTCACACATTTCCGTCACCTGATCCTCTTAAATCATCTTAACTTTCCAAACCCTATTTAATTATTATTACGTAATCTACCTTATCATTATTTAATTCCATTAATCTCTACAATTATCACACAATTTATGAACTTCACTAAATTATTACACCACCCACCCTGGATTAACCCCCTCTGACCTGTTTCTAGCATATATATATAGTTATTATTGTAATCACGTTATTTACACTCATTTATATCAATTGTTTTCACACTATCTCCATGTAAAAATTCTATCACAATTTTGGTTTGTAAGCAGCTGACGAGAAACCTCGAAATAATATGAATTCATACTATTCTGCATCAATGTTTGTTCTTGCTCTATTTAAATTATTCGAATTATTGTACTAACTAGAAATTCCCGAAATTGTGCACTTTGCTGTAAGTAGAACTAGATGAGCATAATTGAACGTATTGTATTTGGAATTCGAAATCAGAGGGCAATCAAGTGCAAAAGATCCATTAGTTTGTACAAACACCACACGAAGTCAGCTCACTAAACATATACTTTATTCACTTACTTATCTGGTCACATTACGTCATCCCTATGCAGATTGATCCGATTGAACTAATACTGGTAGGGTGATTATCTGCATTTCCACGCAACGGAATCATTTATGGTATCGAAATTTCAACATCATATTTTTAAAATGTTTCTTAGTATGACAGAAATTCAGACACATGTTCGAAAGTAAGAAGACAACATAGTTGTTACAGTGACAGTTACTGTGCGAATGGAGGTACATGTGTACAAAATCTGGAGATTGATCATCTGGAGTCAGGCTTATTTTGTCAATGTCCACCTGCTTTTAAAGGTACTCAGTGCGAGTATGAAAGAAATCCATGCGAAGATGAAGTTGGCTGTGTTCCATTTTCTTGTGTGCGAGATCCACGAAATTTAGAGTATGGTTCCCGGTAAGTATTTTATGTCCAGTTTCGGTAATAACTCATTTTAAGACAGAATATTAATATCTCAAATTAGATCGTGAACAAATGGTAAAATAATTCCAGATTAAGAAGGGAGCGAATGGCTATGATATAAAAACAAACTAAGAGGTCATTGTTCGCCTACTTGAGATTTTTTTAAGAGAATGTGAGCTCACTTGCGAAATCAATGATTAGGTTAATTAAGTGATATGTAGTTCCAATCTACCGATGCATAGTGCTTTATCCTCTGAGCTGAACGGTTTAAATGGCTTTGCGCTTTCACTCTCGACAAAGTCAGGGTCACCAGTCTCAATTATAATTTAGTTTTTAAGACTATTCCAAAAGCAATAGACCAGTCAGTTCCAATGACTTTGTTTGTGACTAGTTGTCTAGATACTACTGAAATCAATACTACCTGAATAATCTAGTTGAATAACTGTGGTCATTGGAAGTGATGGTTTTCATGATACGGGAACAAGTTGGTGGAATGATGATTCCCAACATAATTGAGTTTAAGTGTATAGTAACAGAGAAAACAATGTGAAAATTTGGAGATATAATCTCGTAATCAAAGAGCAGAAAGGCATCACGGCAGAATAAAACAACCTCAGCTGTCCTATGATTTTCAGTCTATACCACTCAGTAACCTATAAAACAGACACAATATGTTTAGGTTCAATAACAAGCACTGACAAATTAACGGAAGTTAACTATCAAGAACACGTTAGTTTGCTCGGCTTCCTCCCCTGCATTCTTCGTGCTCTTTAGGTGCTCAAAACCGAAGATGGTGGGATTGGAGTGGAAACCTGCAGTTCAGTAACTCAAAATTCAATCTTTAATCAGTAGCCAACATCCACTTATTCGAAAAACTGCTAACTTTCCATATATGAACTACATTTGTCTATCGCTTTCAGTATGCTGTTCCTAAATATTGTGAAAATTTGTTTCAGGAACTGTCCTGTTTAGTGCAGAATAAACTGAAGGTCGTTAGTTATGTAGAGTTCATCGCGAAGACCTTCTTACTTCCATGTGAATCTTCACTCCTAACTTAAAAGAAATCTATCTTCACTATCAAATTCAAATCCCTATAACTTAGTGGTATTGGTTGTTTGAATCTCCTCACTGATGTTCAGGACTACAGTCGGTTGGGCTCAATTGACCAGCCATATTGTTCAATATAACATCTGAAAAACATCTAACTGTTCAATATCTAACCCACTAAAGATTTGTGTTTTCACAATTATCCTCGACTAATGCCTGTGTCGTTCTTGGAAGCGATCTCTACTATCTGTGACCACGTCTCTAATAAAGGCGCACTGGTATGTTTGACTTTGTCAGAAATCACCCAAATAGTATCTGTTCTATGTAGAAAAATACACCTACTACTGAGATAAACTGTTGGATATTATTATTCATAAAGACAGAACCAGCTAGTCAAATCCATTTTTCTATCGATTAATAAAAGTCACCATTCACAGTCTTTTTAAGGTCGGTGATTGAGGACACAAATTAAGCTTTGATGGCTCAATGGGTTTTCGTACCACTTAAATTGTACACTGGATCTCAGATAAAAGAAAAACATGATACAATGTTTACCGTGTCAGACTAACCATAATTAATTAACATAGTTGCGATCTAATTATAAATGTTACTTAATTCCTTCTCTTTTTGTGAACATATTAGTTGTCAATGTCCTACAACACATCAACATCAGACTGAAAGTGAACCCAGGTGTGTACCTATATCAGTTTGTGGTGAATTCAATATAACAAGTGAATTTAAAATGAGAAGGCAACCATGTAGGAATTCGGGTCAGTGTATCCAAGATACTAAGAATCCAACTTTGTATAAATGTATTTGTAGCCATGGTTATACAGGTGATCATTGTGAGATTGAACCATCACCAGCTATATGGAGTGTATGGTCAGCATGGTCTAATTGTTTATGGCCTGAGTTAAATGAAATATGCCACAAAAAACCATATCGTCAACAAATACGCACTTGTATAACTAATGCAATCGGCCAAAAATGTATGGGGGAAACAAAAAGGATAACACATATTGGATGTGATCTCAGTGTAGTGAGTTAGCATTACTTATGTACATATATGATATTTCACAAGAAGTTCATCTTTGCAATTACGGTTAATTTTGATTGGCTTATAATTCTATATAATTAGGTTACATATTATTGTATTGATTGTTCTAAAACAACACAAATGTTTCACTGTAATTACAACTTCGTCTTATATCCTACTCAGTTGATATAACCTAATGATAACTTCATAATCAATCAAGGAATGTTCACAACTCTCCTACATCAAGTGGATTCAATGTTGCACAAAGTCGAACAACCACAAACTGAACTCACCATACTCATCTACCCAGTGATCAACTTGACACTCCTACTGAACACATAATCAATACTGAAAATTAGATCAATAGTTATACATTTTCACAATTATTCTTATTTATTTTCCAGCTCCATTCAAAATCAGAGATCAACGTATCACAAACAAAACGTGAGAATCTAATAAACGCATTAAAACTATGTGATTTATATAGTAAACAATATGTTATGCCAACAAGTGAATATGGATTAAATCAACAATTAATAATAGTTGAAGAAGCCGATGATTGGATTACAACCGGTTTTGAGGATGCACCACAACTACATTTGAGTGAGTCAACAGTGACTGATCAATCACAGTCAGCAAACTGGCCTACGAGACAGAACTATCTACTCACCACAGGATGGATATATTTGACCATAATTCACATAGGAACAATACTTTTTTGGATTCATTACATACACCGTTGGAGAACACAACGAAGAGATTAGTCAATAGCCATTTTAATATCGCCGATTTCGGTACTTTGATTTGCTTTACACCTGTTTTGGTTTTTCATCAACAGTACTATTGCGAATTCGCAGAAGTATCTGGAGTGGGACAAACTCTATCTTCTCTGAAGTAGTGCTCATTGCAAATGCAACATCGTCGCGATGACTAATAAAAGCCAACTCGTGTTAGTCAAGTGTTTTGATTCATTTTAGTGATCTCTAGAAGCAAACAGATGTAGTTTCACTTAACGACAAATTCAAGTACCATTCAAGCAGATTGTGATGACGTGTTTGGATAGACTTTTTATCAAGTTCGTTTGAAAGTAACAAGTTGGATGCATAACCTGAGGGTTTTGAGTTTATTGCTATCAGGGTTATGTGTACGGACTGCTGAGTGGTTCTGAGGTAGCTAACAGCAGTCCTTGATTCTTAGCTTCTCAGAATGACGTAAGCCCGTTATCAAAAACGATAATCTTCTCATAAGTTTCATAACCACTGATTCCGATCATTTCAGAAAGTTTAGGTGATATATTTTTATAACTCCGTCCAGGTAATTGACGTACAGTAATCAATGAACGTCCACACTTCGACCGACTGGTCCTTTCTCTCCTGTGAGAATATAACTCATCTGACTTCATATATTCGTTATCAGGTGAAAAGGTATGTCCCTGCCACTGAGACAGACGTTTTTAACTGAGGTTTAATGATACTTCTTGTTTATCCAAACCGAATTAGGTGATGCTCGGCTTGTCAGGTCCTTTAACTGTAAACAGACCGTCATTATTGTCCAACAGCCTAACTGATAGCTAAGTGACTCCAGCAAAGATTGGTGATTATTTGATTAAACTGATAGTCAAATGTTTGTTGAATCTTGCAAGGGACGACTGTAAATGCCGTTCTAAATGGAAGTGTTGTTAGGAACTAGAAAACGAAGAATATGAAGCATTAGAAGGAACATTTCAAGTAAGAACACAACTAACGAAGATTCTGGCCATTTAAAGATGGATATAAAATGTAATACAAGACTGCAACATGTGATCCACTAGATTCTATTATGGCCCTTGTGTGATAAACTTTTAGTTGACAGAGCTATACAGTTTCTAGAACAGTTTTTTAGATAACTAATGAATAAAAGTGAACTTTATGCATTACCCAAAGTGTCACGATAACATGAAAAATGACGAGTACATATCGTTTATCAACTCAAGAGTATGGTTAAAATCTATGTATTACTCCTAGTAATCTCAACTCGGTTCAGAAACAACACAATACATACTCATTCGTTAAAGATTTTCTCAATATTACGATTTGAAAGCCACTTAATAAACATGTTGACCAGTTCAATTTCCATGTCGGATTCGTGAAAAACCTAAATTTATATGCGGATATTTAAGTATTTTACCCACTGCTAACTAGGCAGTGTCATACTATCATGAAACTCTACGATGATATGATGAAAACATACGAATAAATACATTTAAGGATAGTTGATCAAACAGAGTGACGGCATAGTTTTGAAAATTAGAATTCATGACACGGAATAACCAAACTGAGTACAATAGATATGGACCATCAGTCTTGTTAAAAGTCCAGAAGACTATCGATCATTACCTCGTTTACTATCAATGGCCAAACCTCTAAGAAAAGGAAACGGGTATCAACCAATAGTAGAAGGATATCACGCTCTACATATTGGAGCACTAAACTTTTAGGTAGATATTATTTTAAAATAATTAGCTAATTGATGTGACAAAATAAGTTGAAGACATTTTGTGATTTGTTAAACAAAAGGGATGGTTGAATAAATATACGGAAAGTAATTACAAAGTCATATTAGTAATAACTACATTTTGTACAAATATACTGAGTGGGGTCCATCAATAATGGATTTGGATGCTTGGATATTAGGCAGTGGATATCTGGCTGTAATGACGATTGAACCATTTTTTAATTCTTTGTTAAGTTTCTGTTCGATAGATCCCATCTGTAAATTTAAATAATTGTAGACACGTAATTGTTTTGCGAATATTTAACGTTTTCAAGATCCGGAATAGTATTATGAATAAGACAACTATCATACACTAACTCATAATAGAAAAATATAAGCAATCATTTGACTAAGTGACCGTTCTAATTATACTGAAAATCTCGTATTGTACTAAACAAATAATACTTAACACAGACATTGTCACTAATACAAAACTATAAGTATTTTGAAAAACCCACCAGTATGAAATTATTTCTCTACATTTATGTAGTAACGACTTAAGTGCAATGACGAACTCTCTGAAAGCATTGTAGCTTGTACTGAGAGCAGAATGGTTTATGATGGGGGTAAAACATATCGCTTAAAGAGAATAGTTTGCATAAAATAAAACCTATAATACCAGCTATAGCCCGACAATTCTAGGTTTGATAGTAACATGGAAATACGTTTATACCTATTTTGCACATAATTAGTGGGTTTTTTGAGTCTTTTATAAACAATGATGTACATATAGATTATTTCATGAAAACGACCACAATATACACATCTGCACTGAATGAGTAAACACCTATTAATAATTCTAAATGTAGTGAGGGAAAAAAGAATAAGTAGCAAAATCAAAACCGATTCTTTCTCTTAATTCCACAGCCATTTTTGTATATCTATTTATTATTTATTTAAACACACAAACACTGATACAAGAAGGCACCAAATATATATGCGCCACACAAATCAAACGATTTGTGTGATGGCAGGGATACTGCACGGGCGCCAAAGCAGAAGCAGTTTGTGTCAATGATATTCTAAATGGTTTTATTGCCAATAACAATCCACATTGAATGGATTTATCAGCAACACATCATTAAATTTACTCACCATTGAATCTACACCAAACAGTAAAACTGTATCATATACAGAAAGATTAGTTTTCCACATATTTTTACAAGCGAAAGTTACTTTGGGTGTAGTGAGTATTTTATTACTACAAAAGGAGTTGATACGTGAATACCAAACAAGCGGACGATTTAACTCTACACCATGAGCAGAAGTGATTTTCAGTGTTGGCCGACTTATTAAATCAATTAACTATAATTTGGGAAAAAACAAAAGAAAAACATAAAAGCAACTAGACAATAAGAGTACAACATTACATGTGAAAAAAGATTAGAAGTGGATAATATAACAACTACGTACAGCGGTATAGTAACTTTGGTCATACATTTTTATACAGTATAGCTACTCATTTGACCATAACTGAAGTTAATTTTGAGAACAGAAACTTATCAATCTGTGCCTTGTGAAATTTTTGTGTTACTAGCTTATTGTAAATTTCAGTCATTTTGGTCGCTAGTTAGTTTGAAGAGTAAGATAGTTTTTATCCTGGTTGAGGATGTATTGATCAAATATTTAGCCCCCACTAAAAATGTTAGAACTTCACCATACTTATTGTATACCAACAGTCTTTGTTTCTCGACATCTGGCCTGCTTTCAATCCTCTGGATGGGATTGTCTTTTGAACAAGTGTGTGCACGAGGAGTTTATCAACATCCTGAAGACTCTATATACAAACAACTCAGACAGGGTAAGGCCATACGACTATCTCTCTCAACTGTTCCATTCGAGTAGTGTGGTTAAGCAGGTTTGCCTAGTCTCACACTCCCCAACTTACCATCGATGACGTTCTGGAAACAGCTCTGATGGATGTAGGTAATGGTTGTATGGATCTGTTATCTGGAGAAAGACTTTTCGACCTTGAGTATGTGGATGATATTGTCTTACTGTGCAATCCTCACCTAATCAGTTGACATTGTGAGTAGGTATAGCAAGTGAGCTGCACACTTTAAATGCAAGGCACTTTTAGAAGACTGAAAGGACCATGTGTTTGCACTCACTCCTGGAAGTGAATAGTTAGAAGTCGTTGAGAAGTTCGTGTATCTGAGTAGCTGCATAAGTGCTGGTGATGAAATGAATGATGAGACTAATTTACGTATAGTGAAAGTCAGAGTGGCTTATACCAATCTGGGCCATTTTTGGCGCCTTCGTGATGTTAGTCTGACTGCAAATGACCAGATCTATAATGCGTCGACAAGAGCAGTTTTGCTCCATGCTTGTGAAACCTGGTCTTTCTGAGATGATGTTAAGCACCTCTCTGTGTTTGGTCATCGTTTTTTTCGACGGACTGTTGACGTTCAGTGGCAACACCAGATTAGCAATGCAAGGGTTAGAGAACGTATGTTCATGGACAGTGACGATAATTCAACTGGCGTCACCACCTTGAAATACAAACATCGGTGGCTTGGACATGTACTACGAATTTCGTCCCAGAGAGTTCCACATCGTGCATTATTCGTTGATGCTCGGAGTGGTTGGAAAAAGCGGAGGTGGTCAGTGCATAACATGGTGTCGTGGTAAGGAAGAGAGTTGTACAAGACTGGCACCTGTCGGTCCTTCAAGACTCTGTTTCGGGTCCAAGAAGTAGTGCACTACAGTGACTTGAAGAGTTGTCAGACATGACTCAGAATAGAAAAAACTTTAACCAAAAGAATGCTTGCTGGTTGTGTTTTTCTTAATCGAACTACCTCTCCCATTAATATCACTGTTTTATCACTCTTATATACTAATTTCTCGTGTTTTTTTTATCATACTCTTTTCTCTACCTCTTCACTATCTCACCTTTATTGTGGCGTATATATATTTTGGTGTCCCTTTGTATCAATCTTTGTGTTTGAGTAATAAAATTCAAAAATATCCAACATAAGGTATATATTCACATAACTTTTTTTAGTTTATCAAGTTTATTCACATTTTTGCTATACTATACTGACGTGTGTTCATAGCCACTTTCAATTAAACTGATTTGTCAGCAATTTCAACCCATTTTAGAACTATGATTTTTGAATATTATAAGTCGTAATCACGTGAAGCAAACCAAACGAAATAAAATGTTGATCTGTTCAAATCTGTATTCGCGCTCTCTTCATGATAAAATGTCAGTCAGTCACGAAGTAGAACCTGTACGTATGTATATTAGTTCAAGATGCCATAACCCTCTAGCACGAAGGGATGAAGTTGTTGGGCCAAACCCCAGAATAGTAGAGGTAGTAACAGTATCAGTGGCAATGGGAAAAATTACAGATAGAAGATACGATCCAAAAAGAAAATACATATCAGTGAAATATAAACAAAAAGAGTTATGAGGGATTTAGTATCAAGGGATTTGGGGGAAGACAAAGAATGGACGCACATGAGCAATTGCAAACGATTTTGAATTTTGTCATTCAAAGTCTCTAACCCCTGGTTACGATAATAACGCGAACTCCAACCAGGTAGTCTAAACCCATTAACATGACCTAGCCCGATTGCCGGTGACTTCATGAACTAGTGCCATGTTCTGTTTTGTCCGCTTCTAGCTTTTTCTTTCAGCCAACTCCTGCACTAAAAAACACTGCCCGTCGAGGTAGGCGGTGTTTGGGCAGACGAAACATATGTCCCAACCACCTCAGTTCATAAAGATTTGCTATCCATTCAATCGATCTTCCACCTTTATCTAGTGCTCTATTCCGAAAACACCAAATGCTTACTTAATGGTCCCAAAATAAACGAGAAATGCTTCGAATGCATTTTTGATCGAATACCAGTAACCTACGAATATCGCCAATTCTTAATGGCCATGTTTTACATTACTAAAGTAGAACACAAAAATACTGCTGCGCAGTAAACTCGTCCTTTGGTTGGAGGACGGATATCTCACCTACACTATACGTGATGCAAAATGAAGAAATCCAGTTGGGTATTCTGAATCCATCCCGTAATTTCATTAGACACCAGACTATCAGAACGATAGACCTCCCAAAATAGATTAAGCGGGTCGATGTGTTCAACTATTTTACTCCTTATCACTAATTCGAGCGATGACACTAGCCAATCCGGAAGTAACATTTTACATTTGGGAGTTAATTACGCGTATGAAATTTCAAAAAGCTTGTATTATTATATGGAAGACTTCTATGTTCAGAGTTCACAAGCTTTTAACTACGACTCACGTAGATAATACTTTTGGCCGGACTAGTACAAAATAAATTTGGATTAGCTGCAGAATTTCAGTTGCAAAAAATACACAAGAAAAGTAACAACAATATAAGATGCCTTAAAACATACTCTTTACCGAGTATCTGTGACAAAACTAGTATATCTGTTTAAATGGGAAATCGGAAACAAAAACAATCCATACAAACCACACGTCCATCACCGCTGCCTAGATCAATTATGGATCCTAATGACTTATCACTTTTTTGACTTTGCGCATACTCCAGAAGCTTGTACGTATTATCTAGCTGAGTCGACGTAGCAGGTAAGAATGGTAAACAAATTCTCCGAAATGCAGGAGAGATGAATGACCAAAAAATGTAGCATGAAGTAACAGTCGTAACCCCACATCCAATTAGTACGGGATCCCAGAGTAGTGGATGTCTATTTGACGTTGATTGGATACTAGAATGTCTGATTATCGACTCCAATGGAGTATCTGTATTCATTTAAGTAACTAAAAATAAAATAAAAAAGAAACGGTGACTGGCGAAACCAAAATGTTGGTGTGAATTACTTGATAGGGAAGTCTGGGGGAAAACAAAGATGAATAAGTTGAAAATACTGTAAGTTTTCACGAGGTCTAATGGTTTCACACAAAAACCACGTACAATCATTATATCGATATTTGTACAACATGGATCCACCACAACAGATTTAGCCTATTCGGTTAGCGATGTCTGCTAATAACGTCAGTTACTCTGTACACTATTTCACGCGTAATTTGTGCTACAAAATTCAACACCTACATGTGCGCTGACTGTTTTCTCTCTGACTTGAGCGTTATTCCATGCACCACTACCATAGAACTCAACATACGATTCTGGGCATTGCTAGCCAGTAAAGTAAATCTAAATAATGATTACCATATATCACCAGTATCCAAATGCAGTTTCCTAAATCCGAAATATGTTAAATAAACTGTAAACCCCTTATAGTGTGGACATTTTAATGGAACTATGCGTAACTACCAAAACTATCAAATTCTCACGTTTTCACAGAGTATACAATTATCTCCAGCTGACTTTTGATAGCAACCGAATAAGAACTTGGAGAAAACAAAAACGAAATTTTGGAGAATCCCAGAATAGTTGGACACACATGCTTTGTCCATGGAAAAAGATGTTAGCACAAAATATTTACCAGATGTACTTCCCGTCAAAATGACTTTCATATTGGGCTGAATAACGTGTACCGTCTGGTTCAGATGCAAAAGATTCACTTAGAATATAACACTCGGACACGTAGCATTTTGTCTAAAGTATAGGTAAACACAAAGGCACATATATATGTGTACTTCCGTAAACGGAAATTTACCGTGGAAAAAAATTTGTACAATACACATTTTACTTATGTTTGAACACGAGTACTAAAATGTTGTAATACTTTTAAAACCTAAGTCTGTCATTATATAATGACAAACTTAAGTTCTGTATCCCAAAGAACCAAAAAAGGGGGAAATAAAGGCGAACAAAGGGGAAATAAAGGGGTAAATGCTTTGGAAGAGAAAGGGGAAATAAAGGCGATCGCCTTTTTGTTTTGTATATATATATATATACAAAACAAAAAACTTACTGTTATATTACGTCGTTCATATGAACCATGATATAATGCAAAAGAACATCCACGAACACAGGAATGATGAAAATAGAGGGGAACTTGGTATCAGTTTAGGCAGTGACGAGGTGACCCTGTAATTTATGAAGGACCTTTCGGCGACGCCGAAGTGACCTTGAGAATTATTAACTAGGACGATTAACTAGGACTAAATGAAGGTTACAAAGCAATGTGATGAATTAGAACTATAATTTACAGTTGGTCGTTAAGGCTAGGAACTGGATTTAGGGGTTTCGTCACGAACTGACATCAGCCTTATTGCCGAAACTCTATTTAGTCAAATGAATGAGTGAACGTCGCGTCAAAGTCCAAGACTCGATAAGTTCATAGAATGTACCTAAATTTAATAAAGACAGCATGAAGGCAATGACTCATTGGCATCGTCCATTGGTGAAGGTTACTGAGCACTTGCTGCTCAGACCGTCGTAAAACGATTGGTGCGTCACTTCGATAATCCGCAAGTTTTCCTAGATGCGACAAAATAAAGACAGCTCTAAATTTGATTTGAATTCAGCGACGCTATGTCTGATTGGCTTCACCCTTAGGGTAGCGAAAACGACACCTTAATAACGATCCGTATAAATCAATTCCAGCTTTCGCTTGAATACGACAGGAGGTTAGGTGGCCTGTATTTGTCCTGGCAATGATGATCGCTCAGTTGATCCATTTTTCTCATGAAATAGTCTGCAGATGGAGCTTCAGTCATGTGTCAAGATAATGAACTTCTTTTGCTAATGATTCGATGGGAAAGTCGATAGTTAGTTGGCAAATAATTTGTTCTGGGCTTGTAGACTTTTTGAAGTGTCCTCGTAAATTCTCGGATTTGGAAGACAAGAAAAATTAAAGCGTTTCAGATGCTTGATTACAGTTTGGAAACTGTGATCAAGCATCCCCTGGGTCTTTGATATGAAAATGAGAATGGGTTTAGTTTAGCCAGTCAAATATGATACGGTAGCTTCGCTATTTCGGGAATCAGCTTAGTTGCTGCTCTCTGAATCTTTTCCAAATGTTCACTGTCGTTTTTTAAGCAGGGGCTTACCGTTCATATGCAATTCGCACGAATACTGATACATAGTCAAAAATATTTGGGCGTCGATATAGCCAAAGGCCCATCATATTGATTATAGGGTTCTAAAATCATTGGCGGCTATTGCACGGCAGTGTGTAGTAGTAGTTAGGTATAAGTTAACGGTGACTCCTAAGTCATTGTGTGTCTGGACAACAGGTAGACCAATGTTACTCATCGTGTATGTTGTAAGGGCCATTTCGAATGTTTTGTGTGTGAAAATCCCTCGTTGTATACACTCGTAGCTTGTTCCTATTGATTCCTTTAGTTGTACATTTTGTTAGTCTTTTTGATTCCATTTGAATTGAAAATATTTGTATTTTATCATAGTTTTTTTATATTTCTTACGCTTTTACTAAGTTTCCATGTTTCTTCCTGAACTGCATTTATGTTGTTTTACTTTATACTTAGTCTTGGCGGTAGTCATATTGGTTTGTTCCTCCTTTTGATTGTGTTGCTTAAATTGACCGGAATTGTGCATTTTTTGATTGTTAATTGAAATACTCTTCCAGAATTGGAATTGTTATGAAGAAACCAAATATTATCTTTTGAACGAATCCGTGCGTGGTCCATTCAGACAGGAAAGAATAACATTTATTTGTTGTGATTGACTTGATTAGTTGAACAATTATTGGTTGTATAGCTGGGTGGTCATATTTGTTTAGATCTTTCATTTTACCCATTTACTTTGTTTGGGTTTCGACAGGTTAAGGGCGCTTAACTAACCCACCTAGACATCTATTCTGCAGTCGAAAGCTTAGTTTGGATCTTACATATGTATCTGTACCTTGATTATCAAAGGGTACCACAATGCACTTGGAAGTGTTTGTTGGTAACTGCCACATTAAAGACCATTCAGATAATCTCTCCAGGTAATTTGAAGCCCTGAGTTATCACCCTTACTTTTTATCACTCTCCATATCTTAAAATCGTCATCATATAAGAAAACTGATGATGAGAGGATACTAGGCAAGTCATAGAGGAGGAACAACACTGATCCCTAAAAGTGCACCTTGAGGCACTCCACCAAGCACAGTTTCCCATGTAGACAACTTGGAGTTGACCCGTACTCTTTGTTGGCGCCCAACCAGGAAGTTTTTCATCCACAATAATAAATCGCCTCCAACCCTGACATTCCTTAACTCATATAGCGGCCTGTTGTGAGGAACTTTGTCAGTGTAGGCTACATCTATGAGTAACTTTTAGTCTTTAAGAGCTCACCAGCTTTCACAAGTCATGAAAAATTTAGTGCGACAAAAATAGCCTTTTCTAATGCCATGATGCTTTCCCGAAAAAATCCGGTTTTCATCGAGATACGTAAACAGCTCCTTCCGAGTAGTCTTTTCCGAAATTTTGACACACAAGCTGGTTAGGCTAGCGGATCGATAGTTTTCAGGTGTATGTTTCGTACCGGTTTGGAGATGGGACTTACTATGGTGTTCTTCCAGTCGCTTGGTAGATGTAGAACAATACATTCGAAATGAATAAAAGATATGACATTCAACAGGGACCACGCCTGCAAGGCCGACTCATGCCATCCGATCAACTCGAATTAATTCACTTCATCGTTCCCGCCTTCCTCCTCGTTGGGCTTCTATCCGTGTTAAATTTTGAATATCTATTTCCCCAATTGTTTCATGTTCAGCTTTGTGGCCTAATGCCACTACAGTCCTGTCTTGGCAGTATATTCAACGACAGGCGCAATAGATAAACATTGACATAGTCGAGATTTCCGATTAAAACTGAATGAATACATAAAGAAATTTTTCGCTAGTCATTTGAGCATTCGTATTCTTAACAAGTATCATTGGATTTCTGTTGACTTCATCAGGTCGTTGAACTGTATCCAGTGTTCTACACAATGAAAAAACCTTACTATTCTGTGTGACAACCGTACTGTCAGCACACAAACGAATATCTCATGTTGCAGCGACATCCAACTTGTTGATCCATAATGCGATATGAAATTGTTATGAACATTCCAAATACGCATGAGGGATAAAGAGTAGTTTAGCGGTAAATAGACCCCCAAAATCAATATCTCTGTAAGTCTTCGAAATTGATGCTGACCGCATCAGATGTAGATAACTTTTCATGTTTTAAGGCTACCCTCGTGCTATTGATAGAGGAAACAAGACAGGTAGTGAATAGGTCTTTATTTCGATCTTCACGCAGTCACAGTGGAGCGTGGGATTATTTGCTCAGACAAACAGAGCCTCTCAACATTCAATGTAACATAATAAGAAGTATAATGCAAAATGAGGAAGGGAATGAATTCTTGAACTATACTGTTTTGGCATATGCTTGGTTGTTTGAGGTCAACTCTTAACCAACCAACCTAAGCTGTTATAAACTCACCTAGCTGAAGGCGCTCAGTCACGCATGCGCACATGATCACCGGTGGGTACGCCATTCTACGTGTTCCCTTCAACTATTAGCCAGTTTGCACCAAGCGTTTATTCGACATACCGATAACCTTTCACGTATATCCCAGAACCCCCTCATTCCTGATTTCTGATTTCTCTGGGTTGTTATACTTCGATTATAAAGGTGTCAATGGTTAAGACGTGGTCAAACTCCGAATACCTATGGCATCTATAGTGGTCACCTCGACATTATCTGGTTCACCAAACAGTAATATGTAGGTCTGTCCCTCACTGAAACATTTTATATCAGTTTTTAACTTGCACTTTTGCTTTACATCTACAGCCACATTCTCCTCGACCGATAAGCCTTATTATAATATTCACATATTCATCAGCGTTCAACATCATACATTGCTCTTAAACATTACTAGATTACTACTGATAGTTTACAATTTTTATTTCGCTGCAAATCAGAACACACTGTTTGGAGACCGCTTCTCAAAGTTACATCGTGTTCATTGTATTCAAGTCAGTTTCATTAGCCCGTTATGCACAATCCTAAAAACCCGTTGTTGAATCCTGAAACTGGACTGCTTTGGTGTGTCTGTCCGAATATTAAACTCTCGGTCACGCTCTCTTAAGCCCGATGATACAAATGAAGATAATGGCCAATGACTGCCTCGTAATAACGTAACAGGCGTCCAAAATGGCGCGGAACATATATGGAAAAGATATTGTGAAAAATGCAAGTAAAAATAGAACCAATAAAAACCTTAGCAGTACTTTTACTAACTGTTAGAAACACTGGATAAAACTCAACAATCACCATAAATAAGACATTCCTATCAGCCAAGGAACAATATCCTGACCAAAGAAGAAGGGTATGTCAACTCAATTAGATCCACATATATGTTCAATCAACTAGAAAGTGATGGCTACATAAAAAATGCAACTTGTTGCTCAAGAGTAATTGAAAACGTCCCTGAAGTCAAAAAAGTGGTGTGCTTCAGAATCCACTTCACGAAACAGAGCTAATCAGCTCACGAAGTATCAACCTTGATATGGCAGCTCAGTATGGTGAACAACATGATAGCAATGTCAAGTAAAACAAAACTGAAACATTTATTATAAGACTCGACAGCATCCAAATGTTCTCTTATTCTGTCACACTACTCCTATCGCTCCCCATATCCCTATATATAGTGCTTTTGTTTGTGGTTATTATAAACAAATGAACGATGTATATTCCTGACAGGGAAGGTGTAAACCATTTTCACAAGAATGATCAATAATTGACAACACTGATTGATAGTTAATACGTTTATCAAGTATGGTTGCTACAATGATGAAATCAGTCAAGACAAATGCCACTGTACTTGTGCGTTATTACTGCACCATGAGCAAACAGTCTATAAACCCGTGTTGTAAATTATTGGTCATGTTTGCAAAAGGGGAGTGTGCCTACTCTGTCCGAAATATATTATTTTAGATTATATATTGTCCTGTGGTTAGCACGGCATTGTTGCAAGGATAGATCACAGGAAAGTAGAATCCTTACTTTGTACGTTCGACCTTTGAGTTAGGATTGTCTGGCCAGAAGTATCATTTGGTCGAAATACTCTCAGAACTTCTTAACGTAAAATTGGTACTGACTAAATGGGTAGAGTGGTACAGTAGTTATAGAATGTTGAAACATACAAACTCACCTAATGCTAGCCATAGGTTGAAAATTAAACATTGTAATACAGACGTCTTCTTCATGTTGAAGCGGACAGTTACATAAGAAATACATGTAAATATGTTGTTCGGCGTTTTCTGAAATACACGGGTCCCTAAAAGATATACATACTACTAAGTTAACTTTGCCTACAAATACACCACCGAATCCAGTTCACTAGATATGAAATGACCGTCCTAATATGTGGAAGGCAGACATGAAGGCATTCAACTCTGCAGTGCCGACTGAAAACTGTATAATTAAATTAGTGGCATCAGTAGAAGAGGTATGGACTTGTTTCCGGCAGTTATAAAGTCATGTACCCCAATGGTTGATACCCTGCACTGTCCCGAAGAACATGGGGCACAGCCATTCGTAAATAGAGTGGGATATTCGGCGCTGATCAAGACAAAAGAAGAACTATTTGAAAATCGACATCAGCCTTCGCACAGTAAGTACGACAGAATGCTACAGGTCGGTACAAATAAGTGCATATTTACAATTCAAGAAGCGAAAGTTTGAATTGAAGTTGGCCCAATTTGTAACCAAGCAACTTAAGAGACTATCCTCGTACATAGATGACAAAACAAGGACGTAGAATTGGATTTCCAAACTACTTACGAAAGGATTGGGTCCTCTATATGAAAAACCAGACCCAAAAATAAAGTCACTGTGGACCTCGATCGAGACAATGCACACAATGCCTTTAGCACTTTGGACACGGAAAAGGCAGCAGAACTATAGAAAGTAGCTTGAAAGAGACAGGTTTACTCTGTCGAACCTCAGATTATGTGACGATCTGCTTTTATTGCATAGAATACTAGGTAATGATTTTGAGTATAATATATCCACTCTTTTTCTTCCTACGAAATCTGGACATCTTGGAGGACATAAAAGGCGAGTAGGAAAGTAAAGAAAGAACCAAATTTTTATGACATACAGGTTTTCACACTGAGTCATCAATTCTTCAAACTGTGATACCCAAAGGAGTGGTATTGTAGCGGAGCACTTCACGTAGGCGATCTGTCTCTAGACCAAGAGACTGATAACCCCGACTGGTGCTGGTATCGTAGCCAGTATGGAAACACCTCCAGAAATAGCAGAAAACGCTGCAAATTTCGCAACTCAAAATCGACCGACACGAAAAACAATTCGGGAAACTTCCCAGCCGACACACGCTAACGGTAACCGTGGCTGGCGAACATAGCCATCTGTTATACGTCACAGATGTGTTAACGAGAGTTTGTAGAACTATGGTCTACTATGATATTAGTACTGCTCTAATAATAGACGTAATCCTAAATTTGTAGATTTGTCATGATATAACTGCCTAATCTATAAGATCTCACGTGGAAGTCACACCATCGACTACACCAACTCACTGTATCGTATCAATTACCAATACATGATGTAGAACAAGGCTAGGTTAGAGAAAGAACAATATATTTAATATGAATAGAAGATATAAGGTAACATTCAGCAGGGACCACGCCTGCATGGCCGAGCCATGCCACTCGATCAACTCCAGTCCATTCAATTCATTCTCCGCGCCCTCTCCATTGTTAGGTATTTCCCCGAGTTAAATATTGAATATCTATTTTCTGAGTAGTCTCGTGTTCACAGCTTTGTGGATTGTGTGGCTATTGTCCAATGCCACTACAAGTTCGCTATCTTGTCGATACTGGGGGAGAAGCTAGCGTTCTTTCGGCGAATCCCAACGACCGGCTTCACGATCGGCTCTAAATTTACAGGCGGCAAACGGAAAACCTATCGTATGGCAAAAGGTACGTTTACCTTAACGTGGGTTTAGGCAAACCCATTCACTGGATCTTCGTTGTTGTAGATATTTCCATGCCAATCATTGTTATGGACCTTCTACAGCACCACAATAAAATCATCGGTACGCGCAAACGCAGATTATCTCCAGTCGCAATTAAGCACACGATAGACCCTTTCTATCAACCACTGCTCTAGGATATAACAATCACAACCGAAATCGCCGTGTGTTACCAGCAACATTACACATCACATTGCGACTACAGGACCACCTGTATTCTTTAAAGCACACCCGCTAGCCCACGAAAAGCTAAGGTTGGCGAAAAAAGAGTCCAACCACATGATAGACTTAGGTATCATAAGACCGTCAAACAGCCCATGGGCATCTCCGTTGCACATGATCCCTATAAAGGACAGCAACGATTGGCGTCCAACTGGCGACTATCGGCGATTGAATGCAAAAACCATTCCCGATCGTTACCCGTTGCCTCACATTCACGATTTGACAGCAACCTAGAAAGGTACGACTGACTTCAGAAATCGACTTGGTTAAAGCATATAACCAAATCATTATGCCTACCGACGATATTCCGAAAACAGCTATCATAACTCCTTTCGAACTCGATGAATTTTTGAGAATGCCCTTCTGTCTAAGAAACACTGCACAAATCTTCCAAAGGTTCATAGACGGTGTCTTTCAAGGTCTCAACTTCGTACATGCGTATGTTGTTGACTGCCTAATAGCAAGTTCCGACAGAGAATCGCATCTCAAGCATCTCAAGCATCTGCATCTTCTTTTAGAACGACTACAAAAACATGACATTATTGTAAACATTCAGAAATGCCAAATCGGAACAGACTTACTAGACTTCTTATGACACTTTATAGATGCGCAAGGCATCCGACCCCTTAGAACCAAAGTTGCGGCAATTCTGAATTACCCATAACCGGCCACGATCAAGCAATTACGGACGTTTAACAACCTGGTAAGTTTCTATAGACAAGGTATACCGAAACGCGCGTTACTTACGAAGCCGCCAACCGACCAACTTCGTGGAAATGCGGAATCCATCAAGCTTGACGACACCGTGCGAAAAGCATTCTCCACAATTAAGGAACTTATCACTGACGCAACAGTGCTTGCACATCAGGATACTGAAGCACCCATTGGTATCGCTATAGACTCATCAGACTCAGAAATCGGAGGAGTCTTACAACAATGGGTTAACCATTCTTTGCAACCTTTGGTATTTTCTCTAGACGGTTGCTAGACACTGAATCAAGGTACAGCACACTCGGTAGGGAACTCCTAGCTATGTAATGTGCAGTACGGCATTTTCAACACTGTATCGAAGGTCGTGAATTCACCCTTTTCACTGACCATAAACCACTCACCTTCTCTATATGCTCGACTTCAGACAAGTACTCTCCTCGTGAGTCTCGACAACTGGACTACATTTCACAGTTTACCTCAGACATTCAAAACATCTCTGGAGCAAACAATGTAGTCACAGACGCCTTGTCTCGAATGACTTCCTTGAACAGTTTCCAAGGAATCGACCTTCTGAAACTCGCCCAGCTTCAAAAAGAAGACACTGATCTTCAGCACGGGTTATCATCAACAACACTTAAGCTGCGCATCAAACGGATGGGAACAGGTAAGGAAACCCTACTTTGTGACACATCTACAGGTAGGGATCGCTCAATCGTGCCGAAGCATTATCGACGCAACGTCTTCAACACGTTGCACAAACTTTCTCATCAAGGTGTTGGTGCAACCACCAAGCTTATAGCAGAACGTTCTTTTTTTCTTTTCCAGGATGGCTGGAAAAGACGATAAAAAGAACGATGAGGTTTACGAAGAACCAAAATTTTCATTGCACATTTTTTTTTCACTATATTGTACTTCATGATCCCTTATAGTAAAGAAAGACAACCAGACGCTGCTAAATCTAAACTTGAGTTTAAACTTTTGGCTGGCCATGTCTTACAGTCATAACTATCTCACTAAGGGGGTGATCTGTAGCAGTAAATAAATGCCCGTAGTAAATAGCTCTGTAACTCTTCGATGTTGGATGCCGACAACATTAGTTTTATGGACTCACCTAGCTGAAGGCGCTTGGTCATGCATACGCACCAGATCACGAGTGTAAACGCTGTGCCCAACAATCCCTGCAATCACTAGCCAGATTAGATAAAACGATCCTCGATATATTGATAGCCTATCAAATATATCTGCGAACCTCCTCGCTTCTGCCTTTTAATTTCACTTGGTGGGTACGATTCATATTAGGTGTTACTAGTTAAAGCGTTGTCAAACTTCGAATACCTGTGACATCTTCAGTATCCACACCCTCAATTGTCGAATTCAAGAAAAGACTGTAGACTCGCAGAGACATAACAGACAAAGGATAACGTTGTATGTAGTCCTTCTGTCGTTAGTACACAAAATGTGAAATTGAAATCCGTATCTAAATCTAAGGCAAGTAGCCAAGGTCGCGAAGTTGAAAAAGGTGGTAATTCAAACTCCGAGCTCAATAAATGTCATTGGGACGGTCTTCCGTCTGTTTCTCCATATTAGTATCATTCTGGTCTTACGTTTTCATCAATTCGCTGTCTTTAAGCGGTTCAGTCGCCTTTGAAGTTAGATCTTTTCTTCACAATGATATGGTCGTCGATGGTGGTGCTCATAATGTTTTCTGGTTCGTACATGTAAGATAAACTTACTACTTGTATGAAATTTGAAGATCACAGATTTGCATTTTAGCGAGTTTGGTTCTAAAGACAGGCAGATGGACTTCTTGGAGTTTTGTTCTACACACATTCCTGTGATTCGACCTGAAGTCGTAATCGCATCAGGTATATTGTTTCACTACAATTTATTTGCATAAGGTGATATTACTGATGGCAAGGGTAAGACGTTCTCGTTATCTTTACAAAATCTGGAGGAATGGGAGGATTATTCGTCACTTCTGAAACAATCTGGAGTACTAAATTTAACTAAGTGGCTTGACGTACGGGGGAATCATGGTTAGATTTAATCATCACTTTGATATTCATTTAGATAGTTTTGACGTCCCATCATTTGGTGGTTATGGTGATTATTACAGGTAAATCACAGACTCGTTACTAATTGGTGGTATAACAGTTTGTTCATCTTTTGTCAATTTGTAATCGAAATAGCCATACTAACTTAGTGATTTTCTCATTTGATTCACTGATCGGTGGTGTTAAGCTTCCTTATTTAGACAAGTTCGGACAACGTAGTGATTTATGTCTCACTACTATTGACTTCGGAATCACTGTAATTCGTCTGATAGTCTTGAAAAGCTTTCTGTACTACCCGTTATCTGGTTTCTTTTGTCGGAATGAATTGAAGTTACCAGCCAGGCGAATCCTTTGCGTCAGACTCTGCTATTCGAGTCTTATGCTATAGCAGTCTTGAAATACTTTGATTATCTTATTAGAGTATTTGCATTTTTTGATGCACCTTGCGTAAAATAAGAATAGTAGTAAACTTATCGACATGATTCAACGTAATAAGTAAAACGTCTTGTGTTTTTCGTTGTCATTCCAGTCGATTTGGTGTAAGGGGCGGATCTTCATTAAAGTCACGCATATTCAAACTCGTAAAACCATATGGTCAATATTCTTTCATAAGTATTGATTTATCCACTGAACCTGGATTGAAATGGCCTTTTAATTTCTTCGGTAGTTTTAACTTGGTAAGTTGTGTCTGTTACTGGACATCATTACTATTCAGTTTATACATTTGTGATATTTGGCAACTTGTATTGTAGCATGAAATAGACTGACTAACTCGCTAGAGTGCGTTTTATATGAGACCGTACTATAATCATCTCAAACCTGGTCGAATCGTGACGATTCTAAGTGTTTATCGGCGCTTTTGTTTTCCGTAGTAATCATAAGCAAAGCTCGAAGTGACTTAAGTGAGGTAGGTGGTGGTCGACATATGTAACACGTCTTAATCACCCCAGTTGATGAAGACTTACTATTCCGTTGATAGATTTCCCATCTTTACCTGGTACTCTATTTCTAACCCAAGCATTGCTTACTCCGTGATCCCGAAATACACGAGCAATGCCTGGTAGGCACCGATGATTGAATATCAGTAACCTGCTAATATCCTCTACTTCTAATGACCATGCTGAGGCCACTGTCAATAGGTTGAAAGGTGCTCACCAATACATTAACTGCCGAGTTTTGTATTTGTGAATCACACCAGTCCATTTTAAAGAACTTCCTGATTAGTTGAAGGCGTTCGAATGCATGATTTCAACAGTTGAATTGACGAGTCAATCTAAGCTATACCGTCATTGGAAACCTGGAAACACTGGACGGCCGTTTCTTCCTAGTATGGGACTCAGCAGTGCTCAACCACAATCCCGCACGCGGGACTCGAGCGCATCACCTTCGGTCTCGCGCACGAACCCTTAACCTCCCCATAAATCTCCATATTTTATGACTTCATGTGTAATTGTTACAGAGTGTTTGTATTTTTTCCCATGCATCTCACGCTTTTATGGATTTAGTAGTAGTTTGATTGGTTATTTGGATTTTCGGACTGTAAAGGCTGTATAGAATCTAGCACATGGGCTAAGTATGATGTTTATAATCTTTATGTGCCACATTTCGTGTTGCTTGTGTAGATTGCTAACAGTGATTCCCGGTCTGAAAGTTTAGCATACCGTTTGTTGGTTCTTCTTATAGATTACCTATTGAATAAAACTAATTGCCAGTTGTAGTGTTTCCAAATAGAAAGAACTTTTTCGTGGTGTCGTTCCAAACTTCAGTACCTTAGCTCTTTAATTTTCACGTGATGTCCTCTCTCGAGATATGTGACGCGTAGTTCGCACTGTACAACATTCAAAGGCAAGGTGTGGCATTAATGTTAGTGGTCAGTAGTTTTTTACAGGTAACTCAGTTTATCGTATCCAGTACATAATATGCTAGATATATATATCGTGCTTATGTGAGGTACTGTGAATGATACTCTGAATTCTACGTTGTATATAACTGATCCACTAGTTATAGCAAACATATGTTTGTAATATTTTTAATTTATTGTAAACTGTTCATATTTTATTTTATTTTGTTCTATCAACATTTAACCTAATATTACAGAATGTTAAAAGACAGTTGTTAAAGTCGATTGATGAAGCTAAAGATAGTAATCAGACATTTGTATTTGGACATTATCCAACTTCCACGGTTGTTTCGAGTGATTCGAATCTGGGTACAGTGATTGGGTAGGTTTTATATCATTGGACTTTAAGTTTTTGATATTTAACTGTACCAAAAATAATTGGTATTTACAATTTTTAGATTTCATTCGATTAAAGAATTCACCACAGAATACATAGTTTTCTCACTTTCGCATAGGTTTTCTTGGCAATAAACACGTCCTTTCGCATTGTCCTTCTCAAGTAGCTAGATTTCAAAAGCTATTCATGAGCCAACTTATAGGTTAATATGATTACTTTTTGTTGCATCGGAATGATTGTTGTTACTAGATCCACTTCGAGTAAAGTTCCACAACAATTTCAGTTGTAAGCATAATAATCTCAGTCAGTCAGTCAGTCAGTCAGCTACAACGTAGGACCAGGCACATATATGCATCGGTCCAAGTTGCCATACCTCGTTAACACAACAAGATAATAATCTATTTTATTAATTATCAGTTCTTTTGTATTTGAATTACTTAATTACAGGACTACTATCTTCCTGACCATAAACACTTAGGTCAGTATTTCACAGCCCATTATTTTCAGTAATTCACTGTACACTTTAAAAATATTTAGGCGTAAAAGTGTTTGGTTCGTTGGAAAACGTGAAACTTAAAGAGCTTGTCGAAGAAAGGTATACTGTTAAGTGTTTGTTGCGAAAAATTCTGTTATTCTTAATTAGCCATTTAACTAGTTTAATTCCTTTCCAAATGTTCACACAGTGATTCTAACCCTGTAACTATCTCTTGCAGGACTAGCTCATTCTCTATTAATCTGCTGATTCGAAATAGCCACTAACTTGTTCATTGTGTATGGTGTTTATTCGTTATGAGTTTGTGTTATCCTGTTGTTGATATTCAGAACTAAATTTCGATCAGTTTGATTAATAGTAATATTGTTTGTACTGACGTTTTGTACTCACGCTCAGGATCCGTAATTAGTGACTAAAATAAATTGTAGCTTTCCAGGGTTTACGTGTTGAGCTCTTTCTGTAATAAATTTAAATATTGAAGTACCGTGAATGATTTACTTCAAAATCATTTCTAGTTATATTTTCATTAGAAACAAATAAAAACAGTCTAATCTCCAATATTCTGAATTATAGCAATATACAGACTTATGATCTCTTGCATGATTCTTTCTCATTTCGCGCTTTTTATGTTCAAGATATCCAGCGCGTGTTCATTGGAATGGAGATACATGTAGTAGATAAGGCAACTATATATATTTTATTATTATTAAATTTCAGATTAATGGCTAATTGTTTTTCTTATCCATCAGTTGTTAACAACAGTGTTGGATATCGGCAATAAGAAATACTCAAACTATGTTTTAATTAAATTCAATTTGTATGTCTGAATTATGATTCAGAACACAGTTTCTTATAAATGCTATGCATATTTTCTTTATTGCAGAGATAGTGCATTTGCTTATTTATGCGGTCATTTGCATACGTTGTTTGGGTTGGCTAAGAAGATGTATTTTTTACAGCCTCAAGGATATTGGGAATGGGAATTAGGTGATTGGCGTGAAAATCGTTAGTAAGTTATGTGTTTTACTTCTCATTGTTGCGTTTCCCTTCTTTTAATTTACATACTCGTGTTCTGTGATGTTGAACCGCACGACTGAATTATTGTAATTTTGTTAACCACTTAGTTGCTAAGACTGTTAAGGAACTCAACCAGAGGTGTATAACAAGAAGAATCGTGTAGAGCAACAAAACATATGCATCGATCCTTATGGTAAGCACTGGTTTCAACGGTACTACTTTCCGGAGCTTTACGAATATATATTGATTTATTATGTGGGTTTATGAGACCTAACTAATAGGTAGAATGCTTACCATTAGAAATAGTATAGTCATTATGAAGATCCAATCAGAATGTATATTTCCGCCTCTGGAAATCAGTTATAAAATGTCACAGTATGGAAATCCTGAGTAAACTGCTGAATCATATAGCATTACCAAAACACGTTTTCTGTATTTCTACTGTTGTATTGTTTTTGCACTTGGGCACTATGACTGAGGTATTTCTTGGTGTCGGTTTTAGCATCACTTTGTCTTACAATTAGTCAAAGGCTCATCTTTTATTGTGCGCAACTCCACTACTTTCTCCTAAACATTATCACCAGTCCATAGGTGTATGTCGCATTACAGTAATATAACATTATTTAGGGAATAGGCTTATCCCTTAACTTAGATAGGTGCTTACTGCTAAGTCTTGAGTATCGTATATTCGATATTATGTAAGGTTACACACTGTTAAGTCTCAAGATAGGATGGAGCTTTAAGTAAGTCTTACCCGATTTGTAGTGCTTTTTCTATTGGTCTCAGTTTAGAGTTTGAGCCATGTGGTTATCTAAGTTGCTTTAGTGTTATTTTGTTATTAGTAGGACTCTAATATTTTTCTCCACAAACTACTCATACCAGTCCGTTGAATAACTGTCTGACTTGACGAATCGCATCATGCTACTTGTTATGAACTCGTTTGTCATGTAATGGAGTTTGAATATTTATTTGGATGTGCTATAAGTAACTTGTGCATATATGTATGTATATATGACTCATGTGTATATTAAATTTTTGTATCCCTTATTTATTGATTTCCAGCTACCGGATTGTAGCTGTTGACAACGATTTGGTGTCGTTTGTAGATGTGCGGAAGCTCTCGCCTAATGATTCAAGCAAAGAATGGCCTATTATTTTAATCACAAATCCGAAAAACGTTAACTTTTTACTCCCCAAAAAAGAACCATTCCACAGGATAGAGTTTTCTACGCACATAAGGTAATTAATATTGATTTTTAAGAGTTTAATTGCATTGAGCACATCGTCGGTCGTTGACGCATATACAACATACTTCTTAGTTACTCCATTCATATCTTTTATATCTTCTGATAGAACGAGACGCCGATACACTAGAATCCATGCACTCAAGCAAAGGTATAATAGCTCTACAATACCGCATTTAGCAAGTTTACTATGCGACGGAGAGGTTGTAGGAGCTTACTTAGGCGAATAAGATTTCGAACTGGTAAATTATGTTTCTCAGCGTACTTGCAGTTGTAAATACCGCAGTTATTCCCTGAGCACTTGAAAACTTGACATAGGGTTTTCAATATTCATTTGTTGATTTAGGAGCATATTGAAAAGCTTTTAACTTTCTTTTGGTAGTGATTTCATAACCGTCAATATAGTGGTGGTAATTATTATGATTGCTATTAATACAATTGAAAGTGCGTTTGCTAATAAGCAATCTGTAGTTTCATTTATTTCAGGCGAAATATGAAATCAATGCAAATTTGAAAAAAAGACAATCCAGAACTTTTCATTGTAGTATGAAGCTGGAATAGTATTAGATAGAAGTGCAGACTAATCTTGTCATGCAAATATAAATTCACTAGATGTTACACTTGTGCAGCTCTTGACCAAGTATAGGTTTTGAGCTAATTATTTCATGTGAGCACTGAAGATCCTACTCCCGATTGTCAAGATCGAGATTAATTGAGCGAATTTGGAACATCCACCCTAAGGTTTGTAATTGAAAGTGTTTCAAACACCAAACCGCAGCCTCGTAAGCAATAATTTATGCATGATATATGAATTATATTCACCACTTATATTCAGACCTGCAACCATCTTAAAATTGAAAGGAATAAATTACTATGATCCTATTTGATTGTATAACTTATCTGGATAATCGTTTTGTGCTTTAAGTAAAAGTAAAAGTCGAGAAATATTTCAAAGTTTAAATCAACTAATCTAGTTAAATATTTTTCGTCAGTTCTGTTTAGGTTCGAGTACTCGGACAGCATCCCAGACTGCACACAAATTTAATGATAACTAATTTTTGGACTCAATTTTCGGTGCACTTTTGTATCAATGTTTATGTGTTTAAATAAATAATAAGTCAGACCACATAAGTGTAAGGTTTGTTACACTAAGTATGTAAATAGTAGAATGTTCATTTGAAAAAATAAAAATAAACTACTCTAGTTTTACAGTTCAAATGACTGATATACGAATATTGTTTGAGTTATGACTATTACATGGAGTTTAGATTTCAAGCCTTAAATAGTTTACTGTTTAAAATATATAAACTGGGATTTTTTGAATATCAAGTAGAAGGTTATATTGTTAGTTTTGTTTTATTTCGACAGACATAGTAAACCACATTACTTCGATAAGTAGAGTGAAATATACAATCAATGTTGTGATATATCATTTTAGAATTGTTTCATTCACGTGCTTACTTACTTCTGTTTCTCCCCGTGGTCGAGTATAGGCTTCCCACCATCATTCTTCATCCAACTCTGTCTTTAGCAGTCCTTTCCATTCGCTATTCATCCTTTCGATGTCTGCGTCCAATTCTCAGCGCAGTGTGTTTTTGGCCTTCCTCTTTTCCGTCTCCCCTCAAAATTGCAAGTTAGTGCTTGCTTTGTGATGCAGTGTGATGATTTCCTCATTTTACGTCCTATCCACTTGGAGCGTTTTTTCCTGATTTACTCTTCAGCCGAAAACTGGTTTGTTCTCTCCCACAGTGGGCTGCTGCTGATGGTATCCGACCAAGAGATATTGAGTATCTTGTGTAGATAATTGGTTTCAAGCACCTGAACCTTTTTGATTATGGTTGTAGTAGTTTTCCAAGTTTCAGCTCCGTATACTAGAACTGTCTTGATATTCGCATTGAAAATTCTGAATTTGATGTTGACTGACAGCTGTTTCGAGTTGCAGATGTTCTTCAACTGTAGGAATGGTGCCCTCGCTTTGCCAGTCCTTGACTTCACATTTTTACCAGATCCTCTTAGTTCATCGATGATACTACCCAGGTACGTGAAAGATTCCATATCTTCCAGAGCTTTTCCATCAAATGTGGTTGGTTTTGTGTTCTCCGTGTTGTATTTGAGGACCTTGGTTTTCCCCTTGTGTATGTTAAAGCCTAATGCTGCAAAGGCTGCTGCTACACTATTTGTCTTCATCCGCATTTGTTCGTGTGTATAAGATAGAACGGCCAGTTCATCTGCGAAGTTTAAGTCGTGTAGTTGATTGCAAGCTGCCCATTGTATTCCATGCTTCCCCTCAGGTGTGCAGGTCTTCATAATCCAGTCGACCACCAGAAGAAAGAAGAAGGGGAGAATAAGCAGCCTTGTCTGACTCCAGTCCTCACATGGAACACATCTGTCAACTGTCCTTCATGCACAGCTTTGTATTGTAGTTCGTCCTATGAATTCCGGATGATATTGACGATTTTCTCAGCTACTAACACCATAGTGTCCAACAAGTTTCCATAAGATCCTCCTGTTCACACTATCAAACGCCTCCTCATAGTCAATGAAGTTGATGTGTAGTGACGAGTTCCACTCAACCGACTGTTCAACAATGATCCGTAGTGTCGCAGTTTGGTCTGTGCACGACCGGTCCTCAGGGGATCCGGCCTGTTAATCTCGAATCTGAACGTCCACTGAGTTTTTCATCCGGTTCAGCAACATTCTGTTGGAAAGTTTTCCTGTTACTGATAGTGGTGTGATGATCCTGTAGTTTTCACATTTGCTCAGATCTCCTTTCTTTGGAGTCTTGATGAGGTATCCTTCTTTCCAGTCCATCAGCACTTGTTCCTCCTCCCAAATCTTTTTGAATAGAAGGTGAAGTATGTTTGTAGTTACTTCGATGTCTGACTTCAGTGCTTCAGCTGGTATATTGTCGGGTCCTGCTGCTTTCACGCTTTTGATTTGTCTGATGGTCATTCTGATTTCTTCCGTCATTGGTGGATTGACATCTTTGGGAAGATCTGTGTGTGCTGGTTCGATTTCTGGTGGATTCAGTGGAGCTGTTCTGTTGAAGAGTTCCTCAAAGTCTTCTACCCACCTGTTCCTCTGTTCTTGAATCTGAGTGATTGGCTTGCCTTCTTTGTCCTTGACTGGTCTTTCTGATTTAATATATTTCCTTGTCGTTTTCTTCGTTCTGTTATATAGTTGTCCGATATTTCCTTCTCTTGCAGCTTTTCCTCCTGTCGTTACTAGATCATCCACATATTTCTGCCTGTCAGCTCCAATGCTCCTCTTCACTTGCTTGTTTGCTTCTGTGTATTCAGCTGGTGCCTTAACTTCCTCTGTTTTTGTTCGGTTGTTGTTAATTGCTGTCTACTTGTCCTTCCTTTCTTGAATCTTGTTCAGGGTTTCGATAAAGATCCATTCCTTATGATGATGTTTCTTGCACTGCAGAACCTCATGACACGTTGAAGTTAGTGCTTCCTTGATCTCTTTCCAGTTGTCCTTCGTGGTAGTTTCTTTTTCTTTGAGTAGATTTTGTAAGACTTGGAACCTTGTTGTTGAGAGCTATCTTGAATTGGTTGAGATTGTCAATATCTCAAAGGATGGCTGTATTAAGCTTTTGTGATGTTTTTTCCCCAGTTGTCCAGTTTTTCTTTAGCTTCAGTTTTAAATTGGCCAAAACTATGTGATGGTCTGAAGTTATGTCAGCTCCTCTCTTGGTTCTCACGTCTTCAATTGACTTTGTGAGTTTTTTTAGTGATACAAATATGATCTACCAGGTTCTTTGTGGTTTGATCCGGTGAGACCCATGTAGCTTTATATATACGTTTGTGTGGGAATATTGTGCCACCCATATCCATTTTGTCGAATGCACATAAATTTGAAAATCTCACCATTCTTGTTCCTTTCTCCTAGTCAGCTCATGTTGTCCTATGATATTTTCATGCCCAGTATTGTCCATTCCGACTTTGGCTGTTAGGTCTCCCATCAGGTTGGTCAGGTCCTTTCTTAAACACTTCTACGTTCGACCTCAGTCTCCCATAAAACTCGTCTTATCGTCTTCATTGTTATCATTGGTGTGTGCATAGAACTGGATAGTATTCATTATGATTTCCACCTTCGTTTTGATGGATGATTTGATGACCATGGATCCATGAGATTTCCATCCTATAAGTGCATCACTTTCTTCTTTGGACAGCATCAAAGCAACTCTGTGTGTGGAGCATTTCCTTCTTCGTGACCAGAGTACAGCAGCATCTATCCTGAATCTAATTTTTTCTGTCCAGCTTGGGTCCAATGGGTTTCTCTGATTCCGAGCGCTGTCAAGTTGTTTCACCTCGTTTCCGTTGCTATTTGATTGATCCCCCGGTCTCCCACATTTTTCGAACATTCCATGTTCCTGTATTAATTGTTTTTCTTGTTGTTAGGAGGGACATTGGTCTCATGACTTCGGCAGAATGGAAGCTTTCACCACGAAGCACCATAATTCTTCAGGATGAAGGTCCTTTAATTCCCGAGGCAGAGTTTACATGGTTTAAATTGTTTATTTTGGTTCGAGTTGTTTTAGCAAGGTTGTTGTTTAAGGGATGGCGTCACTGGCCACATCATTCTTTACCCGGGCTTGGGACCGGCAGTAACCCTAGTAGAGCTACAGGTGGAATTAACTGAATAGGTGACAAAGGTTTATTGGAAATGGTATTTTGAAGAAATACTAAATATTAATCAGCCTAATGAAATCATAATGGTTTGTGTCATACGTATGATAACTGTCGCTCCATCGAATCCATGTTTTTTTAAAATTTATAACTGCTCGACTTGTAATTGAACATTATTTCGCCTTTTCTGAGTAAGCAAACGAACTTCGAAAACTACTTTTAGGATTGTTCTTTTGTCATAAATGTGAGTAAATGCTGAACAGTTAGATTGTTCAATAAAACATTCTGAGTGTTGGTTTTATATATACTGATTTTTGTCGTCAATGCTGTCACCACTTTTAACCGAATTATTAGAAGTATTTTATTAGTCACTTTAAGATGCTAGTTTCATCACAAGAATCGTCATTTTGTTAAACAATAAGTATTTCAATATTCCTTAAAACGGTAGTCTAATAGTTAGGATACTCACCTTTCAACCAACAGTTCACCATTTTGAACCGTGATTTACGTACTGGGGTTGCATCGCGGCTCTTTACACAGTGCCTGCGGCCCGTAGTCGCGTGCATGAACCTCTGTTTAGAGAATGAGTTACATTAAACTAAATAATTCTTCTAATCTTCACTGCTCCATCTCGTAAAATACGCTCATTATGGTGATCAATGATTACCTGAATGTTTAAACGCTCTACACGATAGTTATTTCTTCAGTCAGAATAAGTTTGTTTAAAGCCTGTCCAAACTTTCAATGTTCTGTTTAGAAATACCGTAATTATTTGTTGTTAAACAGGTAAATTAAGTGTAATCACGTCTTACTGGTAGGTTTGCAGTGACATCTATTAGTTTATTATTGTTTTTGTCTTGAAGCCTTAACTATTCGGTTTAAGAAATAAATAGTTTTATCTATGTGTTGATGGATATTTTGATTAGAATTCTAGTTTGGTCACTATCGCCTATTCTAAGAGTTTCTGTGTCAATCGATGGCATTCATCAAGGATTCGCCGAACCAGCTAATTCACTTGAAAGTGATAATTCAACACCTTTATATGTACTTCCATGGAATACATCTCAGTGGTCAACCAATCCGTATGCATTTCACGTGATTGAAGTCACAGCTAGGGTGAGTGAATGATTTACCCGTTTTTCATCAAACTTTCATATTTAATGTGTTGTTGAATGATAGTAATTACTGATGGTTAGAGGTGTGAAAAACTAGTTCGAAAGTTGGGTTATTGGAACGTAAACTTCCGAACACTAAACAGCCATAAAGTAGTCGAAAGAAAGATTGTATAAGAAAATAGGTTCATGTATAGTGTGCAATCCTCATTGTAATGCTAGTAAAAGCCTATATAGTCATGCTCTTAGAAAAATTGAGAATCGAGAAATTATGAGAACGTCAAACGTAAGACAGATGCGCTCAAATAGTACAATTAATGTCATTCCACAGTTAACTGAGCTATGGATGGCTTTATGTGACATTGTCATGTGCACAAATCCATTGTCCAATTACCAATGAATATTGAACTGTTCTTTTTACTAATTGACAAGATAATACAGTGTGTTTGCTCAAGCAAGTGACTTGTTACTTTATTTGTTCTACGTAGTACTAAGTGTATGAAAATAATCCGGAGTTGATTTATATTATGAATTCTCATCAGTTGAACAATTAATGAACAGCTTTATCCTGGTTTGTAAATCTGTAAATTTCATCAAATTTTCACTATATTATTATTTGTTCATGTCAAGAAAGTAAGTGGGGTTGTTTACACTGATATGTCATCGTATATTGCCAATATGTCTTATCTGAAAGAATATTTCACTACTAACCCTTCATACAGGAAGTTGTGGCGATTTTATTAAGATGCCCAAAGTCGTTGAAATCGACCAAGTTCAGTTTTTGGGAAAAAATATATGCAATTCAAAAATCCACTCAACATGAGATGAGAGAAAAAAAGGAATAAAAATCAGAAATTACGTAATGTGTAGAATAATATGAATTAGAATTTAAAGTAATTGGTCCCTTTTATAAATTTCGATAGAACAATGAGTATACGGAGTTTATCTGAAAAATGTAATGTATTTGCGCTATAATACATTTCGAACAATCTGGTCACACATATACTTGTCAAGACATTTTTATATGAAAATTAATTAAAGTGAATTAAATAAAAGTTCAAGTAAAATAACAAAGGAGGGAGAAAGAATAAGAAATTGTCGCGTTATCCTAGGCCATAGAATGACTTAAGGATTGCCAAGGTAAATTCAAGGTTACGACAAATTGTTTTTGTACACATAAGGGGGGGGGTAAATTTACGAATAGCTAAGGCTTCAATAAACTTAAGAATTCGTCCTTGACAATTTCTATACAACGTTCTAAAAGCTGTTTTAATTTCAATGTTGTGCCCCGTTTCAATTATATGCTTCGCTATCGATGAACCTGATTTTCTACCTCCCGCGTTGATCGGATCATTTGACATACGTTGATTTTGAAGCCATCTAGCTACATGTTCATTGACCCTTGATTACATTGTTCGATTACTCCTCCCTATATATGTGTCCACACAAACTGACCGTGTAATAGTGCCATCATCCATTCTACTTAAAAGTATGTCTGTACTGGGTGATCAGAGTGAATTCTTGCAGGACGTTTAATCTAATATTAATTTTAGAAAATTGGAATCCAGAGTGAAGTCCAATCTATTAAAGCTTCTTAAAATGAAAGTCATAAACAATGAGGAGTTTAATATACTAAAACCTTCGGGTCCAGTTCTCCCGAATTTATATGGATTACTTAAAATTCATAAACTCAATATTCCATTACGACCAATTTTGTCTATGCGCGGTTCCCCCACACACGAGTTAGCTAAATGGTTAGTAAAATTGTTAAACCCAATTCGTACTAAACTATGTAAGTTTTCTTTAAAAGATACATTTGAATTAGTTGATCTTCTTGGGGATACTAATATTAAAGATAAGTCTTTGCATTCATTTGATGTAAACTCACTCTTCAAGAATGTACCGTTAACAAAGACGGTAGATTTCCTTTGTGACTATATTTCTAAAAATTTCCCCCTTTTTCCTATTCCGTTACCATTTTTGAAAGAATTACTTTTGCTATATACTGCTAATGTTCAATATACGTTTGATGGTGAATATTTTCGACAGGTTGATGGTGTAGCTATGGGTAGCCCTTTGGGGCCTCTCTTAGCTGATATTTTTATGTCATATGTGGAAAATATGACCAGCGAGCTTATTAGTGAGGCAACTCTATATAGAAGATACATGGACGATATTCTAATTATATGTAATAAGGATTTTGATGTTTACCGATTATTGGATAAATTCAATGGTGTTCAAGATGATATTGTGATGACATATGAATCAGAAAGTAATGGCCAATTGGCCTTTTTAGACATACTTTTAAGTAGAAGGGATGATGGCACTATTAGACGGTCAGTGTATAGGAAACCAACTTGGACGGGACAATACTTAAATTTCCATAGTTTTTGTCCACTGCAATACAAGCGATAACTGGTTAAGTGTCTTTTTAAGAGGACTCAAAGAATTTGTACATTGACATTAATCGAATGACGTCACCATATTATAAGATTGATTATTAACTAGTTTGTCCCAAAGTTGACCAGGCTAAAAGAAGTGACTGTACATGTTTCTTTTGAATGCAAAGCTCTGGCTTTTTGATCCGAATGTCAATTGCTTCAGCCGTTTGTAGGATTCGCAGTCTGACGGAATTAGGTAGACTGTTGTTAACAGGATAGATTATTGCAAAAGATTGCTCCATGTTGGCTGTATGTCCTGTCTGAACTAGATGGTATAAAATGGAGCTGTTAACCGTTTTGACCACACCCTTGCTTAACCACACCGGGAGGTGCTCACAAGCCCGAATGTACGAATTCCTAGATCATCTGCCAATATAACTTGCTCCACAGGAGCAGTTGAATTGATAGATACAGAAAGAGGTGGCTAGTCTAGGCAATTTATCTTTCAACTTCGGAGTGATTATTTGTCGTGTGGAGAATATTAGTTGTAGTTTACCTGCATTAAAAGTCCTTTGAATTAATCTACTTAAGTCTTAGCATTTCACTCGGTGTATCGCCTCTGAATTGTTAATGTATATACAGATGCTTTGTATTTACAGTTAGGTATTCTCTATACTGTGTTTTATTGGCTGTTTTTATTTATAAATTTCCTGGATATCCATTCTCCTTCAGGGTTGTGTATATTGTCTTTGTTTCATCTTCAGTCGTATCCAGAGAGCATATGGTCTTGATTCTATGATGTAGTCTCTAAATAGGGTTCCTTTTGTATTGCAGAGGAACAAAACTAAGAAAGTTTGTATATTGACCCGTCAAGGTAATTTTCCTGTTTATGTTTCTTCTTAGCGACCCGTCCTTCCTCCTTGTAAGTAGAACATCTAGAAAGTCTATTCTACTCCCATGTAAATTTTATGGACGGGTGAACTGTACTGAAACGCTCGAGCATTTCTAGGAAGTCCGTCTAGTTGTTACAAAGGATAAATGTATCATCCATATATCGGCACTAAAGTGAAAAATTATCGATCTCTTGTGGCAGTGGGCCGTTTTCTAGTTTAGAGGGGAAAATGTCTGCCAATATGGGACCCAGGGGTGAACCCATCGCGACACCATCTATTTGTCTGTAGATTTCACCATTGAATTTGAAATGTACATTCATGGTACGTTTTAATAATAATTCATTGATGATCGTTTCCAGTTCGTGTTCTCTAAGTTGTTCACAAATATATTCTACAATTTCTCTGAGTGGGAAATTTGTGAACAATGACGTTACGTGAAAGGACATCATCGTTTGATCTTTCGTGTTGGTGTTTTTAATCTTGTCAACGAATTTGAATATGTCCTTAATACTATGTTTCACCGGGTGCTTATGGGATGGTTTCAAAACGGTTACTAACCACTTTCCTACCATATGATATCCCGACCGAAGCTGCTACCTTGACGCGGTGGTCGGCCTTGCCTATCGTGATGACCCAACCGAGCTTTGTTGGCTGGAGTGTATGTTCCTGTAGGTTCTACCATGCCAGGCAGGTCGATTGGAGAACGGTAAGACTAAAAGCAGCAACTCAAGGTCTGAGGGCGAAGTCGTACTGCTGACTGTAAAGAGATGTGACAGCAGTAAGGTGTTTCCCTCGGACAACCAGCACCTACAGCGATGCTGCCTTCCCACAAGGAGGGGTGGGGTTAGAAAAGGTCGACCCTAAAAGTGTCACATCTCACCTTACCTCACGGATTTCCGTCCCCGGCCGTAAGGCCCTTTGAAGAACGGAGCTAGCACATCAAAAACCTCCCACAAAAAGGCCGTGCCCGACCGCCCTCAAGCAGTTGTGCCTTGGGCTCTGCGGTCACGCTCCCAGGCCGTTAAGGCTGACATTAATCCGAATTCCTTTTCAGGTTCCTCAAGAAATACCCTTGCACGGTGTGGGCAGCCGGAAAGTGACACCAGCCCTCATACCCGTAGCAGCACACGAGACCCAGTTGGTCACATTCAAATCCTTCCTACACCTCTTAATACCACTCTTATCTTCCCGACTAACCCTTCTCACGTCCTTTTTTCACCTCGCACCGCTAGTGCAAACGATTCGAGTACGCGGAACGTTATTCCTGGTCTCCTGAAACCACGCTCTAAACTACATGTAGGAGCTTTCAACGTCCGAACACTGTGCCAAATAGGACAACAGGCTTCCTTAGCTAGGACTTTAGAATCCCGCGCCATGGATGTGTGCTGCGTCTCCGAAACGCGCATACAGGATCCGAGTAGCGTCATTCATCTGACCTCACCATGCTAAAATAAAGAACCGACTCGATTCACACTTCGTGTATCTGGAAGCCCAGATTCTGCTTCCCGTGGACTCGCCGGCGTAGGTATAGCATTGAGTCCTAGGGCAGAACTAGCTCTCTTAGAGTGGATCCTAATAGACAGTCGTTTGTGCGCTATCCGACTAAACGGAACAATAAGGACTCGGGAGGATAGGGTCACTCGTCGTTGCCTCTTCGTCGTCTCTGCCTATTCTCCCACTGACTGCAGCTCAGATGATGTAAAAGATGAGTTTTATAGAAAGCTCTCCGA